TGACGCTTTTCTCAATGACGGTTTGGATGCTTTACAATCCTCCATGACCTTTTCAAGGATCTTAGAGAGCACGTGGGAGGGAATGTTCGAAGAAGGCTTCTCGACATCTACATCTAGAGAGGATGTTAGGGAAGTCGATTGCCAGCCTTCTGCCACTATACTAAGGGCTTCGCCGATGGCGAACTGTACTTCTATCACTTTCACTTCGTGTAGAGAATAAAGCAAACTGAGCAGCTGGTCTACCTTGGTAGATCCGGTATCGTCTTTTGGGATAATTAGAGACAAGCGTCCAAGAGCAGTTATCGCTGGTTCACTGTGCTTTTTAGCATCGGTGGAGATAGATTCGATAATCGCCTCCCACTTATCACCCTGGATGTTATCTAGAGTAATGGCAGATGAAAGGCTGAGCTGTCCAATGACATCATAAGCTGCTTTCCTAAGTGCAGAATCTCGGGAGCCTTTCAATATATCGAGTGCTGTATCTAAGCACTTTTGTGATTTTTCATGCAGCTCTTGAAGCTGAGCGCCGCGAATTCGTAGCCGGGAGAGCATGTATGCTTGGCCTAGTAGGGCTCCACGAGTCTTGTATACTGCAGTACCGATAGCGGTCTGCCAACTAGTAGCATGGGGGGACAAAGCCTCCCATGCTTGACCCCTATGTGCCTGAGGATAGCTGGGGTGGCTTATCAAGATGCCGAAGGCTTGAGCAGCCGTTTCTTGTTGAGGAGATGCTCCCTTGAGTAAGGTGTCGATTAGGGCCTGACTGTGTTTCACTAGAGGTTGAAGGAATTTGTTGGAGGTGAGAGAGGCAATTTCAATGAAATGAGTGGCTGACCGGCCAGCGGATTGCCCAGAGTTTAAGAACAGCCCCTTTAGGCAAGCATTCAGGAGCAATGGAAGAACATCATCACATTCGGCAAGATATACCTTAATGGAAGCTCGAGCATCCTCGTCGTTCGAAAGAACATTGTCGAGACGCTGCTCCCAATTGTGCTCTATGTCCTGAATCGCATCGGTATTCACTAGAGCTTCACAAAGCAGTAAATTTCGAAGATATGTGATAGCAGTTTCGTAAACAATGGTGTACTTCTCAGAAGCGAAGATTGACCAAAGAGCTTGTCGGAGAACATCATTTTCTTCATTATCTTCCTCAAACAGATACTTCGCTAATTCCTTGAATCGCGGAAAGACATATCGTCTACCCTCAGTGACTGGAGCTGCTATGTTATCACATGGATTCAACATGCGATACCAGTAAGGATCGAGTCCTTTCCTCCCCTCTTCTGCAATTTCAAGTCCGCCATCTTGCCCGCCAGCAATGGCCAGTAGATCAATAGATCTGCCACAAATGTCATTGTATGGCATACAACGGTTGGAAAAACGGACAGCAGCAAACCGTGTGCTCCTCACAATGTTGAACCCGGTTTTTTCATCTCTAGATCCGGGTTCAATAGTGGCAAACCTAGTTAAAATAGGGCGAATCTGATCTATTGAGTTCTGATCCAAGTTTTTGGTTATAGAGTTAAGAACTCCACCAAGGGCCTCATCGATGCTGACAAAAATCTGAGGGCCAGAGGTGTCACAGCCTAGGGAAGTAAACATCCACTCTAGCAAGTCAATATCAATAGGGTTTTCGTTTTCTCTAGTTAGAGATGGATCGATCTTCGGGGCAAGCAGCCCTATAGACTCATAAGCGAGGCTCCTAGAGCTAAATTCGGCTGGTTTTAATGGCTGGTTGGTGGTTGGCCAGCCTTGACCCTCGACCATTTCCCTCAGGGCTTTGATTATGTTTGGCGCAACCAAATTTAAGTCTGAAGGTGCCCCCATCCTCGTCAACCAGGTGACAAAAGAAAATATTTGTTGTCGTAGTTTGGAGACTTCTAGCCCTCTGGCTCCACCAAAACTGTCGGAGGTAAGGGCATCATTAAGGATTCGAATGATATGCTGGGTTTTGGTAGTTGCCTGAACCGATTTACTCAGAAAGTGAAGAATTTTCATTTTCAATGCAGGGCGGGCAGGTAAAGCACCGCCAGCCTCTGTCGAGCCTAGATAAAGGGAGTATAGCAGATCAACTACATGATCAGACTCCAAATCTGGGCGAAATCGTTTCAGTATGTCATCTCCAATGTCCGAGACTCGTGCATTGGGATCCGCAGTTGCAATCAATGCAGGAATGAACCGGTCAGAGTCATCGAAAGCACCGCTGCTTAGAAATTTTAAAGCGGCCACTTTTGTTTCTAGGATATTTAAGCCCCCGGGAGCTGTTGGATCCCAAGTTAGACCATCTGAAGACTGACGACTTAAAAATCTTGTTTCTGCTATAGATAAGCCTGGGCAAGCCTCTATTGTGGGTGTCAGAAGAAGTAATTTTCCAAACCAGGATGAGAGATATGTGCTGTCTCCCGGGAGAAGCTTCATGCTTTTTCCTAAGTCTAAATCATCACTGCTTCCCTTAGGTGGTAGCTTTATAAGTGGTAGTAGCTTCAGTATCAAGTTAAACAGAATAGAAGCTTGAGCTTCAGAACCATTGAACTGGGATATTCCATGAAGCAAGGACGGTAAAAGAGTTAGACTTGTAGGGCCCATTCGATTAAGTCCATGTCGGATGTAGATCAGATCGAAGTGTCTGATAAGGGAATTATCGGTCTCCTTGAATTGCTTCAGTAAGGCCTCAACCGGAAGAGCGATGGACTGAGATTGAACCCTGGTATTTATGTGCTGGCATAGAGACACAACCTTGTTTCGGACAGAGGCATTCTCAGATGCAAGTTTCAGTAGTAATGGTGCAAGGTATGTATGAAGAAGAGATTGTAGTTTTGAATCTGAGTCTGCAAGAGCAACACGTAGTTCCAACTTGGATACAAGTGAAAGCTCCCTCTCTTCTGTGCTTTCAACCATTGTTATCGAAGGTTATCGAGTGGCTGACCGAAAATTTGGTACTGTAGGAGCAGGATTGCCTCTTTTTTATAGGTTCAGGACTTGATATCAGTTTCTAACAATATGTTGTTTTTTACCAGGCAGATGTCATTATATTTCATCTTCACCTTTTCCAAGGCAACCAGAAGCTGGCGTGTTCTTGTAAGTTTGACGTTGGGTCAAGGTTAATCGGATTAGTAACTAGAATATTCACGCGTTTGGCGTCTAATAAGCGCCCTTATCGATTGTGGTATTACATAAGCGATAATCAAACTCTGTTCCTGGCTTCTTCTTTTTTTTTTTTTTTTTTATCTGAGCGAGGAGGATAAGAAATTTGTCGAGCATGTTGATGAAGAGCCAGCGAGCTCGATACGTTCCTTATACCCTTGTTTCTCATATATTTTGATCTTATAATACTAGATAACATGTCCTTAATCTTCACTGGCTAGTTACTCCTGATATTCATATGTTAATACTTTGACAACGCCTTTTCTTGTCCATTTTAGAACCTCTTCCATCGTACACCAAGTTGCTACACCCTACGAACGAAAAGATGGCGCACTCTTCCAAAGAATCACTAATACAACCTACTATTATTTCAAGCCCGCAGCTAAAACCAAAATCTGACAATGATTTCCTTAAATCTCTCTCGCATCTGGTCGCTGGAGCGTAAGTGAAGACCACTCTTCAACCTGCAATCTTCTTTACTAACCGCATACTTCTTCCATCCAGTACCGGAGGCGCCATTACTGCAGTTCTCACATCGCCACTTGATGTCCTGAGAACTCGATTACAATCCGACTTTTACCGCCCAGTTCTCTCATCAACTGCCAGCCCCAAAACCATGCAACAGCCAGCCTTTCAAGTGTCTCGTCCTATGCTAGGCCACATTCGCGAAACCTTCCAGATACTATTTTCGATATACCATGTTGAGGGCTGGCGTGGGCTATTCCGAGGACTTGGGCCGAACTTAACTGGTGTTGTACCAGCCAGTGCCATTAAGTACTACACTTATGGGAACGTCAAACGCATAATAGGCGAATCGCAGATTTTCGGGCCGAATAGCGAGAATGCCATGGGCTGTCACATAATTTCAGCTGTCACTGCAGGCATAACCACCGGAACTCTCACGAGCCCGATTTGGGTGATCAAGACACGTCTTCAACTTGACAAGTCACAGTCAGCAAACAGTCCACAAGCTGCCCCGAGACGATACAAGAACAGCTTTGATTGCGCAAGACAGGTCTTGCGGCAAGAAGGCCCTAGAGGACTATATAGGGGACTCTCAGCAAGTTACTTGGGAAGCTTAGAAACAACATTCCATCTTGCACTCTATGAGCAGTTAAAAATGCTCATAGTGCGGATGAGGTCTAACCAGGATGAGCCTTGTGCTCGTACTACCGGGAACAAAACCCTTGGGGATCGATTGTCTGGCTTGTTAGGCATGGGTGGTGCCGCCGCACTTTCGAAATTCCTTTCTTCTATTATTGCATATCCACATGAGGTAAGTATCGATATAACCTTTGGTGAGACAAGACAGGAAGTCCAAGTTAACTAACAACCTTTTTTTAGGTGATCCGGACGAGACTACGACAGGCCCCCATGGCTAATGGCCATGTGAAATATACTGGAGTAGTCCAATGCTTCCGACTCCTCTGCAGGGAAGAGGGTTTCAGAGCACTATATGGCGGGTTGACGCCGCATCTACTTCGTTCTATCCCTTCTGCAGGCATCACACTTGGCGTATATGAGGCCGTCCTTGAAGGGTTCAAACTACTTTCCGAAGACTAAAACATGAGCGTTTTGTTTATGGTTAAGCCAGGCGTTTCCGATAATGGGGTTACTTTCGAACTGTATTATTATGAACATATATAATAGAATCAAGGCTATAGACGGGTAAGGTGTAAGATATAGAGACGGAGGCACACAATTACCCATCATTTATTGCCATTTCCATAGGTATCAATGATTCCAACCATCTAGATGTACAACAACCTATCCAGGGTTGTGCTTATATTATATATAGACGTACGAAACCCATATTTTCAACTCATCGCCCGTACTAAAAATAAACAAGTATTTTTTTAAGGCATTGGACCGTTCAGCTGTCTTGCTTCGGCTGCAGTAGCCCTCAGCACACGTCTGACATCATTCTCGACATCACCCATCGTCTCCGCATCTGCAACTTCATTTGAGAGGGTGCCAGTTCTCTTCTGGTTGCTAAACAAGCACTGCCAAACATCCGAGTCTCTAACTTTCTCCCCTTCGGCACCGGGCCCAGAGAACAGATTTCCTGGTGTTACGTCTTCTAATTCATGGGAATTTGCAGACTCAAGGGTATTCTCGTCCAGGTGCCGAAGGCTCATTAGAGGGTTATGGGAAGTACCGTTCGATTCTGCATGGCCATTTCCATCCAGATCCAGGTAGCTTTCGGATATAAAGCTGGAGGACATAGAATGTTCCCTTTTCTTCAGGTTCTCTTCGCGTCTACGTGCAATATGGGCTAGACGGCGAGCCACGGAGATTTGATAAATGGACTCCTCAACGGTGTTAGCAACCAGGTACATCCATACAGTTGTATCTTGATGCTGACCAATACGATGAACCCGAGCTATGGCTTGAAGTTCAATTGCAGTATTGATCAGTGGTTCGCAAAGAAAGACATGGGTCGCGTTAACAAGATTAAGGCCGGATGCATGGGCTTTTGCATGTAGGAGAAAGCACTCGGTCTGTTCAGTTGTTAGAGACAAGATCGTAAGTTAACAGGATAAAAAACAGGGCACGTACAGTATGATCCTCTTTGAACCGTTCGATACCAGACGGATCATCTATACTGGAATGACCAATTTTGAACCAATAGAAGACATGGCTTAGTGTGACTAGAAAGCTTTTGTTCTGCGAAAAGACGATTGATTTAGCTCCTGGGTCATGTTGCCGCAGCCATAGCAAGTGCCGACAGAGAGTATCGATCTTTGTTCCATAAGATCTGGGAAGATCAATGTTCTGGATTTCTTCCAGCACTTTTGAGCTTATATCAGAATATATAGGGTTCTTTTGTGGGTTTCCTGGTTCGGAATTGGGTGCATTCTCTTCCTGAGCAACAATCTCTTGCGGCTTGTAGGTAATCTCGTGGAAGTCTCTCATCTTTAAACGGCTCTTGCAGACGGGGCAGCTTTGGCTTTGACGCCACCAATGCCGTATACAATCCTTACAGAATTTGTGACCACAAATCGTCAACACACCTATATACATTTGTGTTAGAAATCGTTTAGTTTGAGAATTTGACTTGAGTCAAGGGATAAGGAGTTAGCAGACGAACCAATATCGAATGTAGAATCACAGATGATGCAGACTCTTGTGTTTTCATCTGTACCAGATTCATCACGGAGATGGAGAAGGTATCGGTGCTTTGCTTTCAAGGACGAGAGCTTGGAGTCAATTTCCTTTTCAGCCTCTAGCTTAGTGACAAAGTCTTCTTCATTCAAAGGTTTCCCCTTTCGGTCTTCATCATATGGTGCGACTGTATCTGAAATCTGTTGGAGCTGACGATAATATTCAAGCCTCTTGTTCATAACACTTCTGAAAAGCTCCATTTGCTTTTCTAAGGGAGGAATGGCCTTTGATTGAACTGAAAACAACTTGCTCACTTCACGCAATATGTCCTTGACGATCAATTGCTCTGCGCGGGCCCTAGAACTCCCTTGTATTTCTTGCCGTTCCAAAGACACAACTAAGTTGCGAAGTTCATTCACAAGTCCTCTCAATGAAAGCTGTCCACGAGGCAGTTTTAGCTCCTCACACTTATTTATAAGAGAAATGTATAGTTCTGGAGCGGGGCCTTCACCCATTTTTGCCCTTTCCATGGCAACGCCGACTTCGTGCGTGATCAAGTTATTCACCTGGCCAGTAATTGCGGCAAAATGTCTTGCAAACATAACTCGAAGGCCTTCCATGTAAACGTACATTTCGTCCTGGTGTTTCGTCGATGATTCATATTCGTCACCTTTCAGTTCCGAGCCTTCTTCTTCGTCGACCAGCGCTTGTAAAAGCAGCTGTGCCATGTGGTCCAGCCACTTGTTGAATGTATCGGTATGAGGTTTCATAGCATCGCAGAAATCTTCAACTTGATCCAGTAAACGTCGACTTTCTATGCCGACAGAGTGTAAGGCTATAGACATTGTAGGAACATGGAATACTCCGTCCTTTTGCACCTTGGCTTTGAGACGGTTGATTTGTCCATTGACCATTTGAATCGTATCTGCAAGCATTTCTCTTCTGATCAGTTTCGCAACTTCGTACCCGTTTTCTTCCTGCTTTTCTAATTCGCGGAAACTATCAGAGTCAGGCTCGGTAATCTCAGGGTCCGTTTTAATCTGGTAATAAGCGTTGGCCATGAAGAATTCACACATATGTTCAATTTCTAGAGCGGTTCGAAGCCGATGACGAAGCACTCCCAGCCTGTTAAGCAGTTCATTCTCGGATTCATCGTCGCCGCTATCTTCATCTTCTTCATTGTCATCGCCATTGACTTCGTTTTTCGTTACACTCTCCTTTGCAACTTCGGCCCGCCTTTTGAGCTCTTCATCGAGTTGATCTCGACATCCCTTGACAATTAAGCCTGATCTCCTCGCTGCGTCTTTCCAAATCTCCAAGGACTCCCTTGGTCTCAGGGCATTTTCCATTATCTGGCCCCTTCGGATCTGGGATATGAGAAGTGTACGCTCCTCTGTCCGTATCTTGGTTTCATTTTGGTCAATCATAACCGCCAGCACGTCAGCAACAGATCGAAGCGGTCCATTACTTCCAAGGGTTCTTGCGGTGGCAGTGTCAACTTTAGGCTGAAGACAGGCTTGCCTGAGTCTTGATAGCCACGACCTCATCTTAGCGATAACGGCCCGTGTCTGGGGCTGTATTAACTGCGCATCCCATTCGAATGACTTGGGAGTGCCAGATCTGTCCAAGTCACACTCTTCGCACATTTGTTGGAAGAGCTGGTCGTAATGCTGTTCTTCCACGGCAGTGAATGGAATGGTGATAACGACTCTCTTTTGTTTGGGCAGCCGAAGCTCACGGGAGACAATTTCTTTGTTATGTCTGAGGGCAATCTTTCGAATCATCGATTTAAAGACGGGAGGGTATGTGCAAACTCTTTTCCAGATGCTTGCTGAGAGGCAGAAAGGTTCATAATGTAAAAACGACAATAGACCATATATATCTTCGATATCCTTTCGCAATGGGGTACCAGTCATAGCCCATGCATTACATCGTGGAATAATCCTAGCAACCCTCGCAGGTTTGCTAGACTGAGATTCAACCATTTGAGCTTCATCAATACATACACGCCACCAGGATATTTGCATCAAGGGAGATTTCCTTTTAGGAGCTTGTTTAGCGTGACGGGAGGGCCGGTCAGGAGGGTCCTCTGCATAATATATTTCTGTGTTTAGAACTTTATAAGTCATAAGGACTATGTCATAGGAGGCCAGATCGTGTGTCAGTTCCCTGTCATCTACCTTGCTCTTTTTAAGCCCCGTATAATGTTTGACTCTAAGACCTGGGGCATGAATAGCGATCTCTTGTTGCCACTGCTTCAAAATCGAAGGTGGTGTTATTATCAATGTTGCTCTGGATTCAAGCAACCCTGCTGGAGTGGGGGGATATGATCCATTGATTATGTCGGGTCGCTGGTGGGCGCATATCAGAGAAAGCATTTCCACAGTCTTTCCCAGTCCCATTTCCTCGGCAAGAATGCCTCCCCTCAAGCGTCTTTCTGCATGGTTCCACGAGGATAGATTCCTGATGACTACTCTGAAGAGTAGGCTAACATAGCAAGGTCGGCCATCTGCATCTAGCACCCGGCTAAAAGATAGTGGAATTTCTTCAGAAACTTCCCGTGGACGTAAAGTTCCATCAGGTAAAATGTCCATGCCTTCTCTTGTCAGTAACCAGCTGACAGTTCGTTTCTGGAATGGAAACAAGGAACACCTTATCAGGTCCAATCCTTCGATCTGCGGTACATGTTGTTGTGTTGGCGGGACATGGACATTGTCATAAAAATCACTTAGGCCTAGCTGTGGCGGTTCTACATGGGGGTATAATTTTGGGAGTGGGTGCGGGGGGTAGCTTGAGTCTTCGGGCAAATCAAGCTGTGTTTTGTAGTACTGCCACAGTGCCTTCAACGCAAAGTCGGGTATTGTATATCTTATTTCAGCAGAATTTATCCAGAGTATTCTTGTCTCGAGGACGTAGAATCGAGTCTGAGCGTCCGGGCCTCTTTTCAGGTGTGTTTGCGAATAAACAGCAGGAAGCTTTCCATGGGCGCAGTATATAGAAGTCGAGTTTGAAATTGATGTCCGTAGAGCGTCTACAAGACAATTTTCCAGTCGAGAGTCAAGACCCTCAACTTCTTCCAGAAGTACTTCGTGTGTGCTTGTCCACAAGGCCAGGTTCACACCGGGTCTAGTATGGTGCGGGTTTCTAACCAGTGCAACTACGGGTACATCTAGTTCGTGCTTATCATTCAAGGAAGGGTTGAGTGGTGGTTTATCGAATTCCTAAAAGTCACCACGGAATTATTAGCTAACTAGGCGATCTAAGAAAGGGCTTGCCTGCGAGACGAGCAGAGAGGTCCGGCCTACGAGTAACATCTCGATTTTACCAATGGCAATATACTGGGGCAAGATATCCGCGGCATATTGTAGATCAATACAAGGCCGGTTTCTATCAATTCTTCTTCGTTTTTCAGGAGGTTCTGAGCTCGCTTTGTGTCTCTCATGGCCGGAGCTGGTGACCCATGCAAGCGCGTCCGGGACGCGGCCTAGTTAGTTACGTAGTTAGTTAATAACAGAGCCAAGGGCGAGACAGGGTAAATCTGAAGTCGCATAAGTAGGTAATTACCTGGGACTCTGACGCTGTATTGCTCGAATGCCATCCCCAGCGGTCGTTCCGTCAAGCTTGCTCCCTCTGAGGATGAAGAGGAAGAAGAAAAGAACCGTAACTTTAGGCAGAAGCGCGGAGTGGACTAACTAATTTAACTTCACGTCCTTATCGATAAGATCTCGTTTCTCTCCACTTTGTTAAGGAGTCAAACTTGTTAGTTAAAAACACAGAAGAGAATCAACGTCCGTCCCCTTTTCCCCTTCGTCATGCTCCTAATACTCCTCCTCCTCCTCCTTCTCCTTCTTGATCTCCCTCTCCAGGCGGCGTCTTTCAGCCCTCCTGGCCCTCATTTTGGCCACCTGATGGGGCCGGTGGCGGCGCGGGCGCGCTGGTGCAGCAGGGGCAGGGCAATTGGCGAGTGCTGTAGCTGCTGTTCTGGCCGCAGCTATCGATTTCGTGGCTGCCTCCATTGTTTCTATTGCAGCTTTTGCTGCTTCTGTTGCTCCTCCGGTCTCTGACACGGCTAGCCACTCGTTTGCGGCTGCATTCCATTCTTCTGCCGCCGCTTTCCATGCTGCTGCCGCCGCTTCCACCTTTGCGGCGGCTGGTGTGAGCGCTGCTGGTGCTGCCTGTGGTGCTGCCTGTGGTGCTGGCTCTGTTGGTGTTTGGGTAGACATCGTTGGTTATCGAAATGTAGTTATTAAGTTGGATATGCTATCATGCGTCAACAGCTATGTAGTAGGATAGACGAGGGAACTAAAAGGATGCATTATACTTACATTGTGGATGTCTCTTGCGGTCTGAAGAAGGAAGAAAAAGAGAAGAAAAAGAGAAGAAGAAAGAGGAAAGGAAAGGGAGGAAGAAGAGACGAATCTCTATATAGACATAGTCACGGTAGCAACACACGCGAGCAACACACGCGAGCAACACACGCGAGCAACACACAACTACGACGGGGCTTAACTAGGTACTTCGAGCCATTTGTGCTATCCCCCGGCGAGAACGCGAAGAGGAGTCCCATTTAGGTATGCAGGGAAGCAAGGCATCCCTCGTTCTGACGAGGGGCTGGCCTGTGGTTACGGGCAATGTCTGTAGGATATATTCTGACAAGCGGGCTACGGAGAGACTCTTTGGACTTGGCTCGCTGTTTTCTACGCCATGGTTGGATAGAAAATAGATGGAAGGAAGAAGAAGAAGTTGTTTATTCGTGTTCTTGTGTCCTCGGGCGATGGGGCAGGCCCTCGTTCTGCTTCTTCTCCTCCTTCTCCTTCTGCTGCTGCTTCTGCTTTCTTCTACGAGCTTCTCTCCGCCTCTCCTTCTTCTCTTGCTCTTTGTTGGGGCGGGGGCGCGGCTGGGCTGGCTGGGCTGGGCAGCCCTGGTGGGTAGCCCACCAGGGGGGCGGGGCGGGGGCTGCTGCTGGTGGTGGTGGTGGTGGTGGTGCTGCTGCTGTTGCAGCTGCTGCTGCCGCCTCTGCGGCCTCCAGCGCCGTTTTTGCTGTTGCTGCTGCTGCTGCTGCCTCTGCTGGTGCTGCTGTTGTTGCTGCTGTTGCTGCTGTTGCTGTTGCTGATGCCGCCGTCTGCCAGGCGGTGGCTGCTGCTGCCACCGCCGCGGCCACCGTAGGCCAGTGTGGTTGCTGTTGTTGCTGCTGTTGCTGCATTCTTTATTCTGGCACTGATCTATGGTGTTTATTCCGTTAGATATAGGATCACACGTCTAAGGGCTATGAAATAGGATAGACGAGGTAGGTGATAAGGGCGCATGAAACTCACGTTGGAAATAATTCTGTGGCCTGAGGAAGAAGGAGAAAGAGAAAGGGAGTAAGAGACGAAAGACGAACCTTTATACAGAAAAAGGCACGACAGCAACACAGGTGAGCAACACACGAGCTGGTGAGCAACACACAACCAATGCTGGGCCTAACTACAGGTCTAAATCAAGTCAGGAGGACACAACGCCTCAATAGCATGAACATCATAGAGGAGTATAATGGTATTTGATAATAGACAGGTCTCTTATGGTAGAGGATACAAGAACAACACTTTGCATTAATAGAAGGTAAGCATGCCACTATAGTATGGGTATAAACTAACATAGGCCATCCTCGGGGTCCTCACAATCGCAATTGTCTAGAATTCCAGGGTTCCGTGTCTGGCGAGTAACCATTGCTTCATCTTCTCCGCTGTGTCTGCAGCATGTTCCTCGGTATCATGTATAATCTCGTTATCTGGATAATGAAGATCCAATCTTAGGAAGGCATACTCTTTTTCAATAGCAGTCGTATCTTGCCATTTAGCTAGGAGCTTTTGTAATGTTTCTATCTCCCTAGGGGTAAAATTTTGTGAGGTGGCTTCTCTCCTCTCATAGATATCAAATAAATCACTTGGCATTACCCCGCCATATTCAGAACGAATAGACTGCTGAACCTTTTCAGCTATTCCAAGGATATCAGTGCGGTGAGGGTATCGACGTTTCACTTCGAATTCAAAGTCTTCTATCTTAAACTCCATGTGGTCGCATGAGTGAAGAGGAAAGGGATATTCATGGAGGCCCGACAACGCACGCTCAGCTTGCGAGAGAAAAAGGCAGCCGTAGAGGGATTGGATGCCGTTATAAACCGCCTCCATAGCAGTAATATCTATTGAGCCCACGGAGCGGGACAGGGTATTGGATGGAGTGATATAACACTGTCAGCGGATGGAGCAAGCTGCTGCTTTTGTAGGATCTAACGAAGATGCCACCTATTATTATTGCCCAACCGGGTGGCTAATGGCGCGCGTAGTTGACTAGCACTGACCTTGGGAGAGAGAAGCGCTCTTGAGTTGTCAAGTTCGTTACACACATGAGCGTGCGCGTGCATCCGCTGTCTGCTTTTGCGCTACGGGGCCGGTAAGACACACAGTCCTGATGATACCATGGATGGATGTATGGTCGTCGCGATGGTCTGCTGCCTCTGCTGCCTCTGCTGCCCTTGCTGCCCTTGTATGGTATGACGTTGGTGGCAAGAGGCTCTAAGACAGGAGATTATATTAGGTAAGCAAGTAAACTTACTGAATTCTGTGACTAGTCCAGATAAGGTTAGATCCATCCCCCCAAAGAGCCTCACGTCGACCTCAACCGAGCAGATCTCGAGAGAACCGCAGGCAACCAAACAACCAAAGAACTACTCTGAACAACCAACTGCCCTGAACAGCTACTCTGAACAATTACCCTGAATCCAGCGCTGCCTGCTCTATCTCGCCAAGGAGAGTTAGTTTGGGATAGTCCTTCAAGGCTATGGCAAGGAGAAAAGGGCTGGCTCCTGGTGAATCATTCATCGTGGGGCCAGCATGAGACGAGAATAGTAACTAATGGCTAGAGCCCCTCTGGCCCTGGCTCTGGCTCCTGTACATAGGTAGCCCGCTGCTGCTGGACGGCAGCGCCATAATAACAATACCAACAATGTGATAGATATCCTGATACCTGCACCGCGATCCGTGATCCGTGATGCGGATATAGTGTATATGGATTGCTGTTAGCCATAGGAATACCCCTAGCTATATATCCCAGGCTGAATGATAGACACAGCTCTATGAACACCGCCAGGAAGGCCGTCGCCCTCGCCTGCCCGCGGACGGGGCAGGCAACGTGACCAGGACGCGCTTGCCGTGCGCGGGCCCTCGCGTCCTCCTCCTCGTCCTCGTCCTCCTCTCTTCCTCTTCCTCTTCTTCTTTTTCTTCTTCTTCTTCTTCCTCTTCTTCCTCTTCCTCTTCTCTCCTTGCGTTCCTCAGCCTTTGCGTTTCTACTGTTTAGTTCGATTGCCCCGGCAAGCCCATCCTAAATAAAGCGCAATACTTGATACGCCTCCCTCGATAACCTCCTTTCCGTTTTGATCACCGTTTCGAGATGGATCCAGGAGCCAACGAGTTCGTTTCAACCCCCTCTCCCTTAGATCACTATTTCCTCCTTCTAATATCCTTTTACTTTCCAGAGTCGATCGTCAGTTGTTAGAGAAGTGGCTGGCCTCCGATGTCGTCTCCAATTACTGCAAGTCGGCAGTTAACGGTGAAGACAACGCAAAGAGAAAGAAGCAAAAATGTCAAACATATTTTGCTGAGATTTTCTTTGCTCCGATGGGTGGCTCTGCTCCTACTAGAGAGCCGAGAGCCTGTGATGGCCGGGTAAGTTGGTTTTCTAAGAATAGGCTATGGATAACCTGCATAGCGGTCCTCGTTTTGTCCAGAGTAGGGTCTTCCGCGTTCAGGAAGACAACTCTGGTTTTATACCGAGAAAAAAGTGGCTGGTTGATTACCTACCTTATTCTAGAGGCTTTAGGATGGGTGGGATTAGCGTGCCAGCTCAGAATGCTGTTATTCCCCCGGTGCAGCAGCAGCCGCTTGTTGTGTCTGGCATACGTGTTCTCCATTATCGCTGCAATTTCGGAGTGCGCTGCATTGATACATGTAGCAACCTTTGACACCGATAGAACATATCACCAGGCTTCACTGGTGTTTAAGTGCCTCAGCGAAGAGGGTGTCCACGTGCTTAACTTGTGCCTACTCGCCATGCGAAAGACGCCAGATGCTGCAAGTCCGGAATTTTCGCTTAGACAGTGGTGCCAGGTTCCCAGTGATTACAGAGCATGGGCTCTGGATGCACTACATGACCATCAGATCAACTTCCTTAACGGCAAAGTTCCAAAAGCCCAGCCTTCCGGTGAAGCTTCAGGAGCCCAGCCTTCTGGTGAAGTTTCAGGAGCCCAGCCTTCGGGTGAAGCTCCAGAGACCCAGCCTTCGAGTGAAGCCCCTCGTCCCGCCGCGCGGGCTGATGAAGAGCCACAGGCCCCACCAAAAGTCCTTCGCAGCTCCCGGGGAAGAGTCCTCTCGCCAATCCAGCCACGGTCAGCCCTCCGCAGCCAGCCAGCCAGTCAGGTGCCATCGAGAACCAATACCCCCGCAAGAATGGCCTAATTTTTGTATCCAAGGGTATACACCGCTATCGACCTTAATACAACTACGAGATGACAGAAAGGGTTGAACAAGGAGAGATCATCTTCTTTTCTGGCAAGTTCCTTTAGATTAGCCGTCACATGTCACTGTTCTGGAAAGCCCCCTTAGGGCCGGCCGCTCAGTGTTTTTTTTTTTTTTTTTTTTTTTTTTTTTTTTTTTTTTTTTTTTTTTTTTTTTCTATTTTAGGTCAGCTGGCGACTCGTGGCGATCGTCTGGTAGCGCAGTAAGGACCACTTTTGGGTGGTTCAAACTGCGTGTGGGTTCGAATCCCACTGCTGACAATTGCCATAAATCCATGTTTAGATGTGCAACTGTTTAAAACTGTAACGACACTAACTAATTTTATAATTCGGGTACTGACCTAGCAAGCAGGTATTATTGTTCCTCATTCCTACCTAACAATTTGCCATGTGCATCCTCCAAGATAGGTGCAAGAAGGTCGCCGTTAAAATTGGCCAAGGAAATGCCATCAGATCACTAATGGATATAATCTACTTAGATTATCTAAATGCTAGTGCTGTCATACAAACACTTAACACCATGGCTAAATGTTATACAGTTATCTTCTGACCACACAAATGCCCCGGATTGCCATCATAATGCCTCCTCCCTTTTATATGCAGTGGGTATCATAATCCTATATACGTACAAAATCTCCTGTTCATGACAGCGGTGTCTGTCTATAAGTATGCGGGTTATAAGTGGCAGCGGGCATTCTGGTTCCATCACCCACGCGTCCCCGGTACGTAGCTCCTACATCCACCATCTGATCGGTAGCCAGTTGTGCTTCTTGGCTCAGCCGGGGCTGCGTCGAGGGATAGGACCCAGACTCCAGGCTCGAGGATGTTTGAGCCATGGCCCGAGAACGTTCGCCTTGTGGAATATGATCTTTGCTTTTCACTGCAGGGAACAAGTCAACAACAAACGAGAGCACGTATAGCGCGAAAATGAAAGCAACAACCCATTCAATAATCGCAGCGGTGTCTCTCGTTCGTCTTCTCTTTCCAAGGACTTTATATGCAATTGCCAGTGCTAGCTCAACCAAAATGAAAAACACCTTGACCAGGAAGCTCATGAAGATGATTTTGTGCTCCTTGTATTCAACTCCAAGGCGGAGGTACTCCAGGCATATGAATAGAGCACTGAGCAGGTACCCTCCTCTAACGTTGGTCAACACAATATACGTTAGTAACGTGCGGATGTTAGCAATTGGCGTAATGAGGATGGTCCAAACTTACATGAACATTATCAGGAATCCACCGTGAAGGCGGGAATGTTTTAGGGTGTCAAAATGGGCCAGAAGAATAAGTCCAGCTGCCCCGACCATGGAGAATAATATCGCTAGCAAAGAAAGAGTCTTATCATATACTCCTCTGTTCGGCACAAGGCGATATTTATGCCGTAGCCAGCGTTCCGAGATGAATGCCAGCACAAAGAATACAGACGACACGGCACACCCCGCTACAAACAGCGGCTTGAGGCCTTGTGCAGCTACGTCCGATATATATCTATGAAATCAAAGTCAGTACAATGCAACGAATTGCCGCTATTTTTCGGGTACCATACGCTATAGACTGGCCTGGTTCCATTGAAGGATATGCGGGGGATCCATCAATCTTCCACCGCACCAGGAGCACTATCAGTGTCGCTATCCGGGCTTATCAGCAGGTTTCTTCTTGTGTTTTTGGGGTCAGGCTTGCCATACCTAGCCATACGCAGGCTGCCACCAGGGGAAAAAGCCAGTAGGAAATATACCACATGGTGTCGAATCAGCTAGTTTGTTAGCCAGGCAAACTAAGGTGAGTTTCGAGATTCCGGCGTTTCCTGGGTGGGCGGTTATAGGTAACAAATGACAGCAATTGAGGATATATATAAACCAGAAAACAGGAATAACAGTTGAGCGAATGTCACAGCTCCTACTCCGCGTCGACTGCAGAGTCTGGCTGTCTATTATGTGTATAGAGCAATGTGTCCACGAAGCGTGCCAGGTGTTGAGTCTCGGGAAAAAAAAGCTCTCGCGGCCTGTCAGATGATGATGTCATCGGCCGCACCCGCTAAAAGCCGGCGGAGTTAAATTTCGGCATTAACGGGAGAGCTCGACCCGCATGGGAAGCACGAGCCAGCATCTCAACTTCGACAACTACAACAATTACTACAACTACAACGTCAACATCACTACGACGCTGCAGTGGTGGGATTCGTGAGATTATCTGTGAGGAGCCGTCAAAGATCTAGCGAGGAGATAGATAGATCGCGAAGTGAGAACTCTGGCCTGTCAATGGAACTACCAGGGATCGTCGCTAACTGATTATTGCCCAATGGAAGAGCAGAAAAGTCAAGAGACTTTTGATCGACTTTGTTTCTTGTTTCTCGTTTCCTCTGTACCAGAATAACTAACCGGCTCCATAGCTCTTTATTCGCTGATTATTTTTTCATGCGGATAGTGGGTGTTCCATGTCTGGCAGCCAAATATCATGTAGTATACCTGGGTTTTTTTGGGAAAAGTCAAATGCAACACGGCTGGTTTGCTGAATTCATCCTCCATGGGGCCTCCTCGTTGGCGATTGGCGGGAGCAAGCTGAATCTCTGAGTGTGATATCTGTCGGTTTGCTTTATCCCTGCATAATCCTAGGACATGCTGCATTTTAGCCCTGTCGCCAGGCTATGGATGGATAAAAAAAAAAAAAAAAAAAAAAAAAAAAAAAAAAAACCGGCAGTAACCTCGACTGGCATTTGAATAAGTACATGCCTCTTCAATGAAATCGACAGTGTAGGTATAGACAGGATCTATCAAAAATGGGCTTTGGATGGATCACTCAGTACGTGAATGGCATTGATTAACTTCGCTGGAACTTTATCTAGGATAGCTGCAATGTATGGACAATGGAAAGGAGATTAGAGCATGGCAGCTCGTTCTGGAGGACAATTAATAATTGGAAAGTATCCGACTAGAAGGTAAGAGAAGTATAATCTTGAAAGAGACGAGATGTACAAGTCTAATGGCATTAAAAATAAGTACCCATGAAGTGCGTCCCGGTAAATGAAAACTTTCAAGAGACATTGCGCAGGTTAAGAGTCAGGAGAAGAAATTGGTCGGCGAGGGAGATGAAAGGCAGCGAGTATTAAATCCATCTGTACTTTTTCCTCTTTGGTCGAACAAAGCCATCACGAGTTGCAGTGGTAGTAGATTTGGAAGAAGATGATTTAGAAGTCTCTGTCGTGGTAGGCGAGGCAGGGGATGCATGATCAGGTTTGGGTGTGTCAGGCGGTTTTGTGGAAGCGGGTTGTGTCTTTTTAGGAGACGATTTCGTTGATGATTTTCTGCGGCGGGCAAACCCTTCGTCTCTACTACTAGAGGCAGTGTTTATGGTTTCCACGCCATCATCACCATGGCCAGTCCCGTTGGTAGCTTGGTTGGATGGAAGAGGTGGCCCATGCATTGCGAACGAGTCAGGAGAGGGGCGATTTAGATAATTATTGTAAGGCAAAGGAGAATACACAGGCTGACACATGATGTTTGGAGGTGGAGGTGGATATGCCGGCCGGGGGTACATGGGATATGGAGATTGAGGCACAGACAGAGGAATTGCTCCAGCGGTAGTAGGTCCAGGCATCATTGAAGGATGCGGGCCGAAGGGGTAAAACTGAGGCTGTGGCGGTGGCTGCGGTGGAGGGAAATTTGGTTCATGTCTGGGTGATATTGAAGAACGTGGTTGCCTAGGCCTGTTAGATGATTTCCTGAGAGATATATGACTAGGAACCGGAGAGGATGGGACAGAGTAGTGCCCAAGGTATGCCGGTGATGAATAAGTCGTATCGGCAACGCTCACGGTGTCGGATGGCCTCCTTTTCTTAGAAGAGCTGTATATCTGTCTGGTACTCCCTTTTGAGGGCGTTTTAACTGTTCCGTTGGTAGCTGGGGTGCGTGGCCGGCTGAGTCCAATTTCGGCATTCCGTCGTCTCCTCCTTTCCAATGCGTCAACCTCCCTATCCGTAAGGGTGAAGTTGTTCAACCGGTTCACTCGTGCATATCGAATCTTTTCAAGCGCATTTTCAACCAGAACATCATCGTCGTCTCGCATGGCAAGTTCCACTGCATACGCAATAGTGTCATTGCGTGAGAGCTCATGCCCGTCATATCCAGTCACACCATCACAGCCATCATCATTATTCTCACCATCTGAGTCTTCAGCCTCATCCATGCTTTCATCCTCATCACTTTCAGACCATTCTCCGGGTATCTCATCCACTTCACCACCACAAGTCTCCCTTCTCTTGTTATCGACAAAAGGAACCAAAGACACTCCTGGATCTTCCTCGTCTTCCTCCTCCTCGCCATCACTTTCGTCTTCTTCGTCTTCGTCTTCTTCTTCCTCTTCACCACTTTCACTCTCCGTCAGCCGATTTTGACTCCTCTGACTCTTCCCCCTGCACAATGCCCCTAGTGGTCTTCCCCATAGGGGCACATCACAAGGAGCTCGCGGTCGACCACCTAGACCGCCTCCCCCGAAAAAGCATTCTCGATTGGCTTGTCCATCAGCGCGGCATGTCCGATAACGCACACACCGGTAGCACAGGTAAGCCACAAAGCAGTAGACAACGGTGACGCCCAGAGACCTAGGGGAAGTGCAACAACCAAAAGAGCAGTGTAGAGTTGGCTAGTGGTTGCACGGAAAATACCAACATCTAGATCCCGGCCTTCCAGTTTACCAATACCATAAGAGCCTCCGAGAACAAGGAGGATGACGAAAAGGAGGGCCAGGTTGGTGAGCAGACTGTAGATGCTGAGCACAATGAAAACAACAACATAGTTGCTAGAGAAGTAGGAGAGGTTGTAGCTTGCGCGGCTCTGGAATTCAGCAAAGTTGGCCGGCTTAGAGACTCGCTTGATATCCAAGAACTCAGAGACGGGCCGTAGGTTGGCGAAGCGACTGGACATGGACTGGGAGCGAATGCCATTGAGTCTTTCTGTGAGGTTCAGGCGCGAGGTAAATGCCTCGAGTGGGAGCTGAATACTAGCCATTGTGCCGGCTTATTGTGCAAACAACGAGATTCTGAGGATAACACGCAGGGGATATGCTTCAACAGGTAAGTCCTATCTGTTTTCAACAGTTTAGCCGTCTATTAATCAATAAAGCAGAAGACATATCAGGCACACGAAGAGGCATCAACAATCACAGGGATGGATGGACCCTGCCAAGAGAGCCGCTCCAGAGTCGACTAATCTTTTTTCTTTCCAGCTTGTCACAGACTACGTGAAATGCAAATCCGAGGCGCGGACGGCGAGGTATATAAGCACCAACAAGAAGAATATTGCAGCCTAGCTGGAGGAGACGAAGTTGGCGAAGTCGCAGGGCCGAAGTTGAAGACGAAGAAATTAAAAGCACAAGACGTGGACACATTGTGGCTTGGCAGGATGATGTAAGCAGTTCAGCCCCTGAGACGCAGATCAAGCAGACAATCATGATAAATTGATAGCTATTGCAAAAATACAAAATACGAAATAAATGTAGACATGGCAATGCATAAGTATAGGAATGTAAAGAGAGTATCCATAGGCATGTTCCCTGCGATGAGTTATGGTAGAGCGGTGTTCTTAGACTGTTCATCTCGCACGGCGTATGTATCTCTGCAACTATACTCTGAGATACCTATACAGCAACGAATATACCTGCTGTCTCATATTGGGGTACATCGTTATCACACATCCTCTGCCACTCAAGTCGAAATCTGTCTTTTTAAGCAAAAAAAAGCTTCGGATAGGCTCAATATCCATAACATTACAACATAATACATATATTACCCCACAAATCACTCCTTTTTGCCTCAGTGGAATGTGTAATATTTCAATGTGTGACAATACACCAATACAACCACCTTTCAACTTTCATCTTTGTTGATCAAACAAAACCTCGAAGATCAAGCAAAAGGATTCCTCGACAGCGCTGCCAATTTCTTGTCGACGGCCTTTGCCAGATCGCAGTCGATATTGTGAGCGCAAAGCTAAGGGTTTTGGAAGGAGAATAGCTACGCAGAACTGCGGGTGTGCCCAAGATGAGGCACTTCGGTCTTCTGCGATTGCTCGCCTTTGCGCTGCTGTTCGTTGGCCTCGTTGCTGCTTGGTCGAAAGAAGGTATGTGAGCTGCTTGATACGGCGATGCAGACAGTGTTCCAGTGTGTCTGCATACTCTAACATCACTTCGTTTAGATCACGAAATATTCCGCCTGCGAGATGAGCTGCACGCCACCCAGGGTCATAATGTAACCTTTTACGGTCAGTCCTGATACACACTCCTACATCAATTGGCCGTATATTGATCCGATTCTGGACAGATTTCCTTGGAGTCAAGCCCAATGCTGGCCAGAGCGAGATCGTCAAGGCATATCGCAAGAAATCCAAACAGTTGCACCCCGACAAAGTTAAGCGCGCTTTCATCGCCAACTACGGCCGCTCGCGCAAGGCCAAAACTGGCTCTAAACCAGGAGTCCGTGTCTCCAAGGGACCTACAGACCGTGAGATTGAAAAGGCGCACAAGCTCGCCACTCAGCAGTTTGCTCGCCTGGGTTTGATTGCAGACATTCTCAAGGGCCCCGGCCGTGAGCGATATGATCACTTCTTGAACAATGGATTCCCTGCTTGGAAGGGTACTGGATACTACTATAACCGGTTCCGCCCTGGACTGGGCTCTGTGCTATTTGGATTGTTCCTTGCCTTTGGTGGAGCTGCTCATTACGCTGCCCTTGTCCTAAGCTGGAAACGACAGAGGCAGTTCGTGCGACGTTATGTCAGACAGGCTCGCCGTGCAGCTTGGGGTGACGACTTCAGTGTTCCGGGCGTTTCAAATATTGGTGAGAGTTCTGCGGATTCTAGAGGACATTCCACCGCTGCTTCTTCGGGGGAGAATGCAGGTGACGAAGGTGCTGCCCCCGTTCCAGTTAACCGCCGCCAAAAGCGCATGATGGAGCGGGACAGTCGCAAAGAAGGCAAAAAACCAGTTAAAGCAGCTAAGGCGAAATCATCTGTTAACCGTGAAGACTCTTCTGCTCCTGGATCCGGCACTGCGACACCTGCGGGTGTTGAGACTAGAAACCGGAAACGTGTTATTGCAGAGAATGGAAAGGTCCTGTTGGTCGATTCCTCGGGTGACGTGTATCTTGTTGAAGAAAATGAGGATGGTGTCAAGGAGGAGTTCCTCCTTGACGTTGACGAAATTCCCAAGCCCACCTTCCGTGACACCATGGTCTGCAGACTTCCCATCTGGATATATGAGAAGACTGTTGGACGAGTTGTTGGCGCCGTTCCTGACTCTACAGCAAACGATATGCCTGAACAGACCGAGGAGGAGGAAGTTGTGCCTCAAGAGGAAGAGAGAACCTCTTCCATTACCCAGAAGAAGAAGAAAGGTAGAAGGGGTTGATTTCGTTGATGGGCTTCGCTTTCATTTTTGCCTTTTCAATTCCCTGTTACCCATATAAAAACATTTACCTATTCTTACTACATACATATAAAAGCACATTGACTTGTATTTTTTTACCTTTCCCTTTCATTCTCCTGAATTGTACACTAGAGTAATGATACATTATTGAATATTTATGGTATTGGACTTCAATGCTAATGGGTCAAATGGCATGCATAAACGAAATTGAGGGCATAAACCCAGTGGATTTAGATATTAAACGCTACTATTAAAAGGTAAATGTTGGATATAATAAAAACATACGGGGTATCGTTATCAGGTACCAGTGACAGCACCACATTCAAAATAGGCGTTCGAGACCAGGTGAACAGTCTCCCGGAATTTTAACATATCAAACATGCAGTACCATGATATTTTCTCCGTCACACATTAATGTTTCTTCAGGGTTGTTTGGCTATTCGGGAGAAGGCTCCATCAGGCACTAACTCAACTTAACTCGTCTCCTCTCTGAATTACCTGTAAGGCTGAGGAACGGCAGGTTGTTGGTAATTCTGATACTGGGGCGCTGGCTGTTCATATGTCTGGCCCTGCATCAAGGCCTGAGACTCGGGGCTTTTAACGGGATCATAGTATTGGGGCTGTTGAGGTGGAGGAGACGGAGAGAAATCATTTCTTGTAGGCTCAAATCCGGGTTGGCTCATGGGTGGTTGAGTTTGCATGTTGTGCTGAAACTGTTGTTGTTGTTGTTGCATCGGGCTGTTGTATGCAGTGTTGACGTTTTGAAACGGTGGTTGGGGCCCAGGCTGAACTGGTACATAGGTGCCTTTGGTGGGGTCGTTTGGATCTATTGCTCCAGGTTGCGTGACCGGGGCCAACGAGCCTTCGGAGACGATATATAGAACAGCCAGGTACGACATGGTATAGAACAAGTTCCACAGAAAGGTGAAGACAGCAAATGCGGTGGTGGTATATGGTTGGCCTCTGACATAGAAATGGAAGCCATACACCACATCAAAGAAGGTCAGAAGAACAGGGAAAATGATCACAAAGAATATCCATTTCTTTGCCCACTGTGATAAATTGTTAGTTGGTATAACGGCAAACGACATACTCGAAAATAATGTTTGGTTGAGGGTTCAGGTATACATACAGAATTCTGTATCTGAGAGCTTCGAATGACAGCAAAGAGTATGCTGATAGACGCTAGGCAGGTTCCGATAAACGCGACTACATTGTAGGTAGCCCCTAGGCCAGACGTCACCTTGGATAGAGTATCAAGTACCCTGTAGTTCGCGCGTATACTCGGAAGGCTGGACTGCAATCCCAGGTAACAAACGAGAAGTATCGCCATGATAACCATGACAACAAAATGGCCAATTGCAACGACGCGCCCGAGAACTTTGCCGGCCAGTTGGTGAAGATGTTTGCAGAGAGGGACCATAATTACTCCAATGAGGAGTAGAGTGCCCCAGTTTTTGAACCACGTTCGAATAATGGAAAGCAGCTCGTAGTTATCAGTAGATCTACACTCGCGCATGACCGTCGTTGTAATGAAGAGTATGGTAGATCTTGTGCGGTCAATATGTTAGCCTATACTTTCTCCTTCGGTTTCAGCGTATGGAGTAGTAGGTAAGGTATAGCATACGCTGTGATTAATGTCAATGATAGGCTTAATGCCCACCACAACGACCTTGATTTCCGCTGGTTCCTCTTTTTCATCGCGGTTGACTTGTTGGAAGTAAGGCAACCCAAGCAGAGGAACGTGAGAAGGAAGATGGACAGAAAAACCATCGAAGCAATAATGGCTCCATCTTTGAACGCGCCAGAAGCACAGCTGCTCGAATAGCTGCTGCTGCTACCATGACGGCCACCACCGTAATGTCCACCACCACCGCCGCCTTTGCCGCCTTTTGGTGCCATCGCGAGATTCAAAATAAATAAGAATTGACAAGCGCGGTATCCAGTTCCCGATAGGGAAACGAGATCTCCAAAGGCAGATGAAAATTTTAGAGCCTCAAATTCAAGGGATCTGAGGACACAGAAGAAACAAAATCAAATGTCCCTGTCGCGACTATATGTACTCGGCGGTTCTTCCCAACCGGTGAGCGAATGCTAGGCGAAAAGTTTTTGGGTATATTTTTTTTTTAGAAAGCATTGCCTCAACCCCTAGGGGCCATACCGCATTCAGCTGATCAGCAGCCATTCAAGAAGCATCCTGTCCCATAGCAGGCCGCCATAAGCACACACTACGCCTTGAAGAAGCTTAGGCGCAGAATACCCAAATTACTGTGTTGAGAAACCGTGTCGTATCCATGGGGCTTAAAAAAAAAAGGAGGCGGCTTTGTTTGATACGAGCTAGAGGCTCCGCCTGCATATGGAAAGGACGTGCTATTGGAAGCACGTCAAGCTCTCTCGTATTCCGCTGCGCTTTCACCCGCTTTCCTTGGCTCGCTTGCCCTTGGGAATCGTATATATTCCGCGCTGCTGACACCATTTTGAGGCCTCAACCCGACAGTTCAGCTGCGCTTGTTCAATCTTCGGTCATATTTAGCCCGTGGCATTCTCGTCCTTGGTCACAGCTCCACTCGTCGTCGTGCAAGATGTGCTGGCCGCAAGTGACCTTCAACGCTAGGAGTTGATCTTCCATGCTTTGACTTTTGGGTTTTTTTGGGATCGATTAAAAAAACAAAGTTATGGTCAGGTGATGTTAAATATAAGCATATTATGTAATCAACTCTATTTTTACCACAAAACCTTGAGCTTCAATACAGACAGAGAATCAGACAGAGATCGATTGCGACTTATTGACATTGGGATACTAGAAGTACGTTGGTGTCACACCTTTTTTTGATTTATGCATGCACACTAAGAGCTAAAAATATGGCTTTACTTTGGACATACTCAGATCGTTGGCTTGACCGCTGATTGTGGTGTTAAGAGCTGCTTCCTGTATAAGCTGGCGAGTGCTGCGCGGTTTTTAACAGCAACGCTTATGTATAACTAGTGAGATGAAACGCATGAGGTATTATTTGAAACTGAAAATTCTATGGCAGTTACAGCAGTTCATTTTGTGATACCTCAACAACGGCTTGGTCCTCGGTGCTAACTACTTATGAAGTCAAGGGAAGGAATATGCTGTTTACATGCGCCTGACTGTGAAAAGGCAGTATACGGATTGGAGAGCTAGCTATTCCAGGGGTGGAACAGTCACTTTTCTTACATTTGAAGGCAACTCTTTACGAGCACTTTGCGCCATGTCAAGACTTCCAGAAGTCACAGTCATTCCGAGACTGCGATACAACTCAGTAACATCTGCTGGCGACTTTCTGTCATAGTCATATTGATGTTTGTTGTGGTACCACGCCTAAGTTGCTGACGTTAGTTTCAATATTTATATTTCCGGAGCCCGTAGCTTGCAACTAGTTACCTTAGAGAGAGACCATGCAGTCTCCAAGCTTAGGATTTCTCCCGTGTGAAAGCCACGTTTTTGGGGCCATTTCTGCGCACCCTGCTTTGATTTGAATAGCTGGATGGTGCCACATACAAATCGAACATCTCTCCACCACGTTGAAGGTGGGACAGAGAAGTGAGCACAGCAATCGCTTGTACTGAGCTCCCGATGAAGGTAAATAACTTTGAGTTCATCTCCCTAAACAACGACCTGTACCTCTTGGGCCATGGAACTTGAGCCGACCGAAATAATGGCTTTGTCTGGAGCCAGCATAGCAGCTAGGCCGGGGGCGCACCATATGCAATTGGCCCACCAGCTTCGCTCACCTTCCGACTAAGAAGATTGTCAAACTCGGCTTTTAACTCATGACTTAGCATAGACTAACCACTATAAATGGGATTGGACTACAGGTACAAGTAGTCAGTTATGGCTCAATTTGGTGGTTTAAGGCGACATTAGATATTTTAGCCCTGCAAACTCACAGGTGTGGAAACGGATGTGCCATTGCCATAGGAGTTGGCGCACACGATTCGTGCTTGTATAGGACTATGCGATGCTCCTCCTCAAGCTTACGGAGAATAGACGGTATTTCGCAAGATCCAAGCCCAGGTAATTTGGCCAGTTCATCCTCAGTAGGTGGGCAGCATTCTTGGAGGTAGAACTGGAACAGTTCATAGCGAACTTTTCGAGTAACTTCCTTCATGCTGATTTACTTCGAGACCACTGAATAGAAATTCACACGGTCATTGAATAGTCGAGAGACTGGGGAAGTTACTTATAATTAGGTATAGATTAACTGGTTTTCGCCTCTGTTGGCTACTTTCAAGCGAGGGTACACGTCAATTCTAAGGCATAACAAATCGAGTGGAAATATGGATAACTAGCTAGCGAGCGGCTTGAGACGTCGTCTCTTCTTTGGCACCCCGGAGAGCGCGTGGGCCTCCCGCCAACCTTAACCAGCAGGGCGGAGTCGCTTGGCGCCGGAGGCTGAGTTGACGAGCCAGCTGCCAGGCAACAGGTTTTACGGCCTATATATACTTAGATCAATCATTGTGATCGTTACGGTGAAGAAACATTATCTGAAACCCTTAAAAGCATTTGATTGCCAGGTTTCGTGTGCACCGATATACCCCTCACTGTGCACCACGTCCGAACGTGAACCAATGTCTCTCAAGAATGGTACTGGGTTAGATTTTGTATCTACCCATCCATTTGTGAAAGCAACTCTGCAAGACAAGATTCGTGGAGTCATTTTTGGGTCTGCCCTGGGTGACTGTATTGGTTTATATACAGGTTGGTTATTTTTCCCCACGCGCCGTGTACAGAGGAGCTTACCAAAGTACCTAGAGTTCCTGTCTAAGAAGATTGCCGAAGATGCGTACCCTCAAGGTAGATTCCAGCTAGTAGATCCAGCTACTAAATTCCGAAATGATGGCCATAGGAGTGAGCTCTGCATTCTTCCTTACTCTAATCAATTGCAAACTATGACACTAATGGCGAATGGGATATAGACAAATTCGAACTGGTAAGTTTTAATCTTGGAGATGTCTTTTTGACAAGCTAGACATCTTAATAACCGCTCTTTTGTTCTTCGTATATTTAGAAAGCATGGACGGATGATACAGACCATGCTCTCTTAATACTACTCTCATATCTACACCACAACGGACAGATGCTCTCTCCCGCTGACCTAGCAAAACGTCTGAAAATTTGGATTGACCAAGGACTAAGGGCTCTAGATCGCCCTCCTTGTGGTATCGGAAAGACAGTGGGTTCGGTATGTATTGAAAGAAACTTACATGCTCTGAAGTATCGATTTGACAAGCTCTAATCCTCTTCTGCAGATTGTCCTCGATAAGGAATACCTCACCAACCCAAGCCAGAAGGCACATCAGTACTGGGTCAAAGGTGGTAGAAATGTGGCACCGAACGGGTCTTTAATGAGAACACATCCTCTTGGTATCATATGCCTTGCCTTTAGCTTGGAAAAAACCTTCCAGATTGCTACCGATTTTTCTCTGATTACTCATGCGGATCCGCGATGCATTCTGGCATGTTGCATTTCCACCGGGCTGATTCGTGGGATATTAAGAGGAGAAATATTGGACGAAAAGGGCTTGGATACTCTTCTAGAGGACGCCTATACGTGGGTCGACTCATGGGTCCGGGATGTTCGGCTGCCCAAGGATGACGCACAAAAGGAGACTGACAGTGACATATACGAGCCTGACGCTCGGGAGTTCCTTGACAGAGAAGAGTTTGACCAGCATGCCTACGCAAAGACCTTTTCTGATCTACTCCTTGACGCTTCATACAAAATCGGGTACGTGTATAAGTGCCTGGGAACAGCAATATTGAGTCTTCGAATGGGCATGCAAAAATCACCCCATGGCAGTACTCCAGGAACTGGATCACCTCCCCCTCTCACCAATTCAGCTATTTTCGAGAACATTATCACAGAGCTTACATATGAGGCAGGGGACGCAGATACCAATGCATGTGCTGCTGGTGCACTTCTTGGGTCCTGGCTTGGGTATAACTCTCTTCCCTCTCACTGGAGAGATGGTATGGATAACAATGACTGGCTGATGCAAAAGTGTAACTCCCTCATCCAGGTTATAGGGGCTGGAGATGATGGTGCTACACCATATGATGGGAAATTAGATGCTGATACCTCGCCTGATGGGGGTAAAGGGCTAATGAATAAAGAAGAGCTGGAGAAAAGGGATAGCGACATGATAGTTAAATACATGACTCGCCATGCAGAAGGAGTTGCGGAGGAGAAAGCTCGACTAAAGGCGGAGGAAAAGCAGAAGAAAGGATGGAAAAGTTTCTTGGGGTAAATGTATAGTTATATGGGGCGCTGGGTATTCACATGGTGGTCTATCCTACATGTCTCTTCAGATATGTTGATTCCAGCATCGTCGCCCCTAGACTGCAGGGGTCGTTGACAACTGTGGTTGAGGAGATAATTTGAGGGATAATACCATCTTTTTCTAGCTCCGATGTCAATTCAGAACGGTATGCATCATTTTTTCCTGCAAGCAGTCCACCGCCTAATATCAGATTGCAATTTCCAGAACCAGCTGCCTGTGGTAGGAGAGGTTTCAGCATGCGAATTAGGCCTCGGATTCCCTGGCTGATGATATCGTGGGCTTCACTGCCAGCTTTGGCATCATCATCTGATTGCTGATCCTGTTGGGGAGGCTTAAAGACGTCCAATACTAGCCTCGCCACACTAGCGATCTTGTTTTTGGGGTAGCGATTTTCGGGACAAGTATTTGTCAATATAGCACTGAGCAGATCGTAGTTATTATTGGTGTCTTGCAAGATACCAAAATGATCGAGAATCTTTCGACAAAATGGGCTTAGCATCTCTTCGATGTTTTCCAAGGAAGGCTCCCCATTTGAGGAATGACGCAGGATATCAAGAGCAAAGAGCGTAGATCGTATGGCAGATCGACCTAGGTCAAAGCCAGACCCATCGTCACCAAGTAAATGGCCCCATCCGCCAGATCTCCCACTCGGGACCAGTTCCCCGGTCGATCCGTCATGGTGATACTTCACTGCAACGCTTCCAGTCCCGGCAATGAGGACGATGTTGGTTGCAGGACGATGGACCACTGTGTCATGGTGAAGTGAAGGTGCCGATGCCAGTACTTGAATGTCATTAGATACTTTTAGAACTCCATTCTTGGCCAATCGGAATATGGATGACAACTTCGAGTCAAGCGCTGATTTCATTTGAGGCCGATCATATCCAGCAACTCCAATCCAAATTGCTTCGAATTCGACATTCTGCAGGTTCAAAATTTGATACTTCAGTTGCAAAAGGGAAGACAGATTGTCAAGAGCTCTTTCTGCGGCAAGCTTGATCGCTAAGACTGCAAAATCTAGGGGAAGTTCGGATCTGAAAAGAGTCATTAGTCAATAGTTATTCTGACACATATTGGAAATCTCGAGCATACACGTTAGAAGGTCCTCCCTCACCCTCGCCCTTCCGCGATAGCGAATTGACAACGATTGCGCGACATTTTGTACCTCCCCCATCTACATATAGAATGTATCTTTGGGATGAAGTGGTAGACTGGCTGATTTCAACAGCATTGGAACCATGTTTATCCACTGCAGATATCGAATCGATGGGCAATATCGCAGAAAGTTTACCACTTGAGGCGTCCAGCTTCGTTTTTGCATATTCGGGAGTCGAATTTAGGGCAAGGGTTGCAAGGCTAAGCTTAACGCTACCATCACACTTGTGAAGCAAAGCATCTATTTCTTGATCTGTGGATGGGCATGCTGAGCCACTGAGCTTTCGGATGATATTTCTTGACCTCTGTTGAAGCTTCAAATTTGAAGTCTTAACATCAACCATCTATGAAAAAAAATTAGATCCCAGTAAGGCAAAAATTGAAATGAAAACAATATGCGCATACCATGTTGCCATATGTTTTTCCAATCTTAATCATGATTCCAGTACTCAGCATATTTAGCACTAGTTTGGTAGCTGTGCCAGCTTTCATTCTAGTGCTCCCAGTTATGACTTCAGGCCCAGTGACCGGAGTTATCATATAGTCCACTAGCCCGGAAGCACTCATTGTTGAGGGATCTGAACATGCAATGCCAATAGTAACGCACCCAAGACTCTTCGCATACTCTAGGCAAGATAGCACATAAGGGGTGCGGCCTGAAGCAGCAATTCCGATCAACGAGTCAAGCTCTGGTTTAAGATCCAAGTTTTGCAGATCTCGTTTACCACCATTATGGTCGTCTTCTGCGCCTTCTTGGGCCTTTCGCATTGCCGCGTCTCCACCAGCCATAAGGGCAACAAATTGCCCAAACGGAGCAGAGAACGTCGGGGGTATTTCCGATGCATCAACCACCCCAAGTCTATCTCGATTGAATCTAGAATTAGTTGTGCTGGATGATCCGAACGGATATGGGTTTGACTCGATAGCCATCTCACCTTCCACTTGTGCCTGCTCCAACATATACAACCCGTCCACCTTGAGATACCCGAAGTGCCAATGCATCAATTGCAGCAGCTATTGTTGGTATATGAGAGCTAACCACGCTAGGAACCGTAGCATCTTCACTATTTATCAGATAACAGAGTTGGACTGTTGAAACACGGTCTATATTTGTCGTCCGAGGGTTTAATCCTTCTGTCTGCAGGGTGGACAGGTCAATAAAGGAACCCATAACGTCACGCTGAACTCGTTAATACAGTCCTGGCAGCTAATTCGCTTGCTGCCGATATACACTGTCGATATTCACCTTCAGGGTCTCGTTTTGAAAAAGATGAAGGGCATTTATCCTAGGAGACGTAGCTAATATATCACTAGGCCGGGAGGGGGCTCCAAACCCGAAGTCACATCTCGAGCCAAAATGACCCACTCCATGTTTCCCGAGCCTGGAGACCATGGACGACCCGAGCTTTGAGGTTTGGAGAAGTTCATCGTTGCAGTTGCATTTATCTAGCAATTGTCTCATCAGTGGTTCTCGAAGCCAGCTAACTTGGCTGCCCACCCGGTAACTAATAAATAGCTAGCCGAGAATAGATTCTTTGGACTGGTAATGCAGCTTTTTGCACTTTGAAATATTCATACTTTATCTTCATCTCTCTATCTCTTCTTGCTTATCGGGTTGGAGAGGTGAATCAAATTTTACAAAGTAGATTGGTCGATATATTAGAGCCAGTTAGAGTTACACGTGATCTCGCCCAAAGAGGCAACTCTCAACGTCCTATTTTATTCTTTGCCTGCAGAGATTCAAAGCTGATTGAATATTTCGATACCACCGACTTTTCACCTCAAGGACTATTGATGACAGTGTGGTGTTGAGCTGCACCTGGGAGTCCTGATTTTGTCTTTTGCCTCCCGCAGAGAAGAAACGGGCTCACTGGTCGAGAATACGAGGAACATACAGTAACTCCCACATCGGACTCTGTTCGACCGAGAAGGATCTGGAGAGCCGAGATGCGACGCTGGTCCACTGGCAGTTCACAGGTGAGACTGCCGGTGTTCGCTGTGAAAATGCATAGAGACTGGCTAGAAAGCTGAGGATGGCTAGATTTGTATTATAAAAAAAATAAGGCAAAGGATCAGGAGGTTGTACAAGCCCCAGCCTTGCTGATATCTCCAACGACTGAGAATTCGTTGCGTCAAATCCAGAGTAAGACACAGCAATAAAGTGTCTTACTTACCCCGGATCTAACGTCCGGGATGTTGCAGTTGAATACAACCTTCTGCTGCACCTGGAAGCGACCATGAGACTTTCCCCATGCCTTGAGCCAGGGGCTATTTTAAGAGAAAGCTTGGATCCTTTGACATGGTGCACCCTTATTTAAGAGCGTGTTCTGGTCGCCATTTCTATTACCAAGGGCTTTTTCATAAGGAATATCCTCGATCTGGCTAATAACTTCTTAGTGATCTCAAGGTGGGACGAAGAGAGTGGCAGAAGATAGGGGAACATGGCAAACTCCGTGCCTGCAAAATCTCAGGCAGGACAGATGGAAAGCGGTGGTTCCGAAAGTCCCAAGTCATCTAAATGGATGGACATCTATAGCCATGCATGGTTCCAAGTGTTATTGATCAGTTTCATCTGTTTTTGCTGCCCTGGTGTAAGCTATGCCCCTTTCCATTCGCAATATGTGCAACCGCTAAAGCACTCGATATAGATGTACAATGCTCTCACCGGACTTGGAGGGTCTGGCCAGGTAGACGCAACCGTTGCTGCCAATGCAAATGTTGCACTGCTTTCTGCCACAGCAGCTACTGCCCTGTTCTTCGTTGGACCGATATTCTCGGTTGTTGGCCCACGAGCCTGCTGGCTAGTGGGTGGGTGGACATATGCCCTATACAGTGCGAGCTTGTTGAACTTCAACAGTAAGTCCTACATTACATTTCCCTTCCCGTAAAATGATATAGATCATATAACTAAGAGCACACCAGTACGACACAACGGCGCATTCGTGATTGCTGCTGGAGGGATTCTTGGTGTTGGTGCCTCGTTTCTATGGGTTACCCAGGGCGCAATAATGACCACCTATGTACCCGAGTCGCAAAAGGGACGAGCCATCGCTGTCTTTTGGATTATTTTCAATCTGGGCGGCATGATCGGTTCCCTGGCCAGCTTTGGGCTGAATTTCAATTCCAAAGAAGGCTCGGTGTCGAATAGTACATATATCGCAACTATGGTGATCATGATATTCGGATGGGTTATTGGCGTCTTCATCTGTCCCCCATCGCGCATCAAGTTGCTGCAACTACACGAGGCCGAGACCAGCGTCGTTCACCAATCAATTGGAAAAAGGCTATATACTATCCTTCAATCACTTCTACAGATCCGGGTACTATGCGTTCTTCCGCTCTTCTTCTGCGCAAACGTGTTCTACTCGTACCAGCAGAACAATGTCAATGGTACAACGTTCAACATTCGCTCCCGATCGCTTAACTCGGCTATATATTGGATGGCACAGATGTTTGGTGGCCTATTCATGGGCTACCTTCTGGACTTTGCCTACTTCAATCGTCGGCAACGTGCATGGCTCGGCTGGGCTACACTTATGGTGACGGGTATGGTAATCTGGGGCGGTGGACTTGCCTTCCAGCGCTGGGAGGATGAGCGACTTGCAAACGGCATGAAGCAGGACATTGATTACGCCCGTGACGCCAAGATCGCTACTGGCCCTATCTGGTTGTACTTCTTCTACGGAGCATACGATGCTTTATGGCAGGGGTACTGCTACTGGTTGATTGGCACTATGTCGAACTCTGCGGCCGTGGCAGCTGTGTTGGTAGGTGCGTATAAAACATTCCAGGCTGCCGGAGGAGCAATGGCTTGGAGAGTCAATGCCCTTGGTGCGGCGCCGTTGACACAGTTTGCGATGGATTGGGGGCTTTGTATCGGGGCATTGGTGCTGGCTATCCCTTCCGTTTGGATGGTTACATTGACCAGCGTTGATGAGGAGGGTACAATGGCTGAAGGGAAGAAGGTTGACGAAAGCGATGATAAGTAGATATGATATGAATCATGATCAAAGCTAGGTATTGATTAATACTGTATATAGTAATGCATATATTAAATGAATTAAAAAGTCTAGTAAGTGTCCATCCTATAATAACTTCGCAGCTAAGTGGCAACTGATAGCAAGTGGTACGAGTCTAATCAATAACAAGACATTCCATGCAGATCCCGAAACGGACAAGCACAACTTGAAAGCAGAATGGGGGCAAAACAAAACAGCAGTAACATGAGGTATCTTAATAAACATATGCCCATAATAGCATTAACCTACCACAAATTAAGCATCTTGAGAATGTCGTGACGATGGAAAAACGAGCGGTTACGTTTGCCGAAGATGTCTATGAATTAACCTAGTTAGGAAATGGGATACAGTAAAAAAAGGGGGCGAAAGCTGGGGTTTCTTACACATTGGTACACTGAGCAAACAGACAGCTACTTCGATGCCGCCAATGATAAGGAAAACCTTCTTGGCTCCGCCTAGAACCACCCAGTTGTATGCAAAGTAAGTGAGCAAGAAACTGAACATGTTCTTGAACACAAGCAAACATGTGAATGACTCAATGGCAATTTCACCTGTCGGATGTTATTAACCGGCACTTCAAGGATATGAAAAATATGGCCAATGAGAGAGAACTTACGATGAGCATCAACAATGTAAAGGGCGCTGGCTACAGCTCCCATAACCATGCCGATAAGAACGAACATGAAGAAGACATCTGGTATCACCCATCCGTACTTGGACACGTTTCCAGAAGCAAACCCGAAGCCGAACAGGCCAATGCCACTGAATACCAGCTGGGGTAGGACAAGCCAGATACGGAATTCGGGCTCATATTTGCCCTTGTTGGCGCGGATAAGTAGGTTGGCAGACCAGTCTGAGAAGAGGCCTGATAGGAAAAGGCCGACGACGGACCCTATGAAGGCTCCTGTGTAGAGATATCCAGTCTGTTCTTCTGTGAACCAGAGTGGTGGTCCGAGGAAGATTGCGGCCAGGACTACGCCAATGAAGACTGTCCAGCCAATGATAACGCCTTGAATGAGGCACGCCTGCGGAAGCTGGTTAGCAAGCGCGCGAATTGATCAAAAGGAATAATAGGTATTGAATAATGAGAATGAGGTGCGGGGATAAAGAAAGAAAGCAAGCCTACCCATGCAATACTGGGGTGCAAGAAGAGAGGGAATGGCCGTAAGAGAAGCTTCCAAAAGCTCTCATCTGTCTTGCGGCCGTTGAAGAGAGCCAGTGATTCGACGAATGTAGCCTTCCGTGGTACATCTGGTTGTACGGTATCACCGTTGGCAGCCACTGCAGCTGAGCTGGGCCCAGCAGCGGAGTCGGCATCTGCTTCTTTCTCAATAGTTCCTTGAGCGGCTGCTCTGGCGGTGCGCCGATCGACGTCCCCTGAAAAGTCGGTATTGAGGTGTTGAGCACGCCTATACGCAGTTTCGGGAACAAAGAAGTAGACGAACGGCAGACAGACGCCAGAGAAGATCGCAATGAAGTAGAAGGTCCATTCCCAGCCCAAGGTATGGGTCATTTTCCCAGCTATGACGGGGGTAAGGAATGCGCCTCCGAAAAGCGCAACGTTGGAGAGGGCCATGCGTTTCCCGCGCTCCTAGTTATTTTTTCGCGCGTTAGAAAGATAGAATAAAAACGAAGAAAGGGGGAGTCTGAAATTGAATGAACGTACATGGACGAAGAAGAGGTCGCCAACGACGGCATTGACGAGAGCTTCGAACGGAGCGAGACCGACTCCCTGCCATATTCTTGCCCAGATCAGGCTGGTATGGTTGCGCTTGCTGAGGCCGGCCCAGATGCAGGAGATGACGATGATGAGATTTCCGAGCAAGAAAAGATGTCGCTTCCCCCATACTCTAGCGGTTGGCACTATTATGATACCGGCGACCCCGACTCCGCAGAGATGGTACCCGGTCAAGAGAGCAGCCTGGGTGAAATCAATGGTGTAATTGAGTGCGATTGTAACCGTGTTTGCGGCCATGATGGAGGAAGTGGTAGCGCATATCACCGAGGTGACGGAGAGAATGACCAGAATGAGGTCTCGTTTCCATAGCGGCCAATTCTGCAGCTTGTCAGTATTCTATTCTCTCGTTCGGCTTGTTCTCGTGAGAATATGGTGTTTTCTCACCAGGGGATCGTTAGGGTCGTCACTCGGCTGCGGAACGAGAATTATAGGGACAGCGCCCGATTTGTCGTATTTCAGGTGCGATTCTTCGGGAACAGGCGTCTCGACGGAGCTTCCATCGTCGTCAAGCACGTATGTTGTCCCTATATCAAGTCAATATCACTCTATATCCCGCACTGCCCCCCCGGGGACACTCTTTAAATCGATTTTTTTTTCCCCCTTGCGTGCTCTCGGTTTCATGTGAGGGAAACTAACCAGGAACATTGTCGAGCTTCGAGTCTTCGAGGATGCCCAACGCCATGGTGGCAGAGAAGGAGACAGAGACGGCCTGGCCTGGTTGAACGGGAGAAGCAGCTGCCCCGGTCTTGTATATGTCTGCGTCTCTCACCCGATCTTTAAAAAGAAGAGAGAGCCCGCCGCCGAGAGTGGATAGAGATCAAAGGGTCCTCCTAAGTATCCTCACTCCCCCGGCCTGGTTGGTTCACCAGACAGGCCACAAACTGCGACCAGCTAGAAAAGTCAAAGCCGACCCGGCCACGCCACCGAATGGGGACTAAAATATGCGCGATGCAAGGATTGCCCCAGATCAGGCCCAGGAGATCCTAACTGTTACATCCATCCGACCCTCTCGTTTCCTCTCTTGCAGGTGATGCGACGACGATTGTTTGTTACCCGCTGCCGTGCAGGTTTGCTGCTCGCTGACGGGACGGGGTGGAGGGACAAGAGTGATAGTCCTTCGCCCGCCCGCCGGTCACCCAAGCCTGAATAATTCGTATTTCAATCCCAGCTGGGCTGCTCGCGGCCTGACCTTCGCAACTTTCGAGACGACGGGACGGCTCCTCTGCCTGTAGCTATAGATGCGTGAGACACAGCCAGCTCTCTCTCTCTCCAGAAGACGATGGACTCCGTACCTGTGTTAGACCGCCCGTAGCAGCGCAATCTAGATGACACCCGTAGAATAGCTGGGCAATTAATCCTCCGGGCCCCTGAACGGGCTCTCCTCGCCCCGTGGTCAAGCTGCTAAGGCCATGGATCAGGGGGAAGTTCGTGTGCTTTTTTCCTTCGCCTGTGCCTGGTGGGCGGTTGTTCTTTTTCGCCTGTCGTCTCGTTTAGCTGCGTCGTCCGCCAACTCTATATAAATAAAACCAACGTCGTCGGCCGCTTTCGTCTCGTCCGCAACCTCACCTCCTCCAGCACCGCCAGCATCCAGCATCCAGCATCCAGCATCCCAACGGCCCTACGCCCTACGCTAATACGCTAATACGCTAATACGCTGCCCGGAAGGACGTCTGCTGCCGCCGCCATGAAGCTCTCTGTCGTCGCCCTCGCTGCTCTCGTGTCTGTCGCCGCTGCTCAGGGCGTCAGCGAGCTCCCCAAGTGCGCCGTACGTCTCCCTCCGCCAGCATGAACCGGCATGAACCCAGGCATGCACAGTATCACCGTCAGCTAACGCTCCCTCACAGCAAGACTGCGCCAGCAAGGGCTTCCCCTCGAGCTGCGGCGCCGATGTCAAGTGTGTCTGCACCAGCAATAGCTTCCTCGATGCCATCACCTGCTGCGTGGCTACAACTTGCACTGCGGAGGAGCAGAAGAGTACGTCTTTTATTCTTCCATTCGTCTCGTTGCATGCTGCGGCTAGCTAGCTAGTTAGTTGCCGAAGCTAGCGAAGCTATATGCTGCTGCGCATATAGGATTACCGGGGGAACTCTGCTAACTGTACTGCCGGGGTACTCAGAGACTATCCAGTTCGCCAAAGGAATCTGCGGCGGTGTAGGCGTCAACGTCCCTGACTCTGCCGTCTGCCCTACTGGTGGCTCTTCTTCGTCTGGCTCTGCTTCGAGCACTCCAACCTCGTCCGGAGGCAGTTCTTCTGAGACTGGCTCTGTCACCGGCACCGCCATCACCGGCACCAATTCTCCCACTCCTACCAGCCGCCGCCCATCTGGATCTTCCACCGCCCACTCTTCTGGATCTGGCTCTCCCGCTACCTCGACTGGTGCTCCCACTCAGACCGGAAACGCTGCCGCTTCCGTCAATGCCAACGGTGGTCTCCTTGCTGCCATTGCTGCTCTTGTCATCGCCGTGGCGTAGTCCTTCGGATCTTCCGAAATAATTAACCACCAACCCCCCTCCTTACACCTCACCTCCTTATCGAATATGCCAGTTCGCGCGTGCAGCGCAGAATACCAGCCAGTCATATATATCCTTTATTCAAGGGAAATAATAGTATAAGGTAATTACAGATGCAGAATGGAGAACTCGAGAAGATGAACATGTTCCTCGTTCAAGCAGTGCCTGTGCCTGTGTCTGTGTCTCTGTGCGAGCCCGTCTCCTTGTTCGCTCCATCTCTCCTTTGTCCACCGCTTTTAATGCAATATATTATATCCTGCAATATAGCCTTATGTAATTTGCTCTTCCTCCTTCATTTGCTTTGCTTTTTCTTCTTCTTTTTTACTCGACGAGTGACGAGAAGAAACTGATCCTAGTTTGTTATTACGAAATATCTTAACCTTATAAATATACCCATCCCTGATACGTCTCTCCTCGCCGTCGTCATCCCACCGTCATCATGCAGCGGACCCGGTCATATGGAAGTATAGCGCCAGCATCCCCGCATCTTGATCTCGGGTATCCGTTACCGTTGTCAATAATAAGACATGTACAGCTGTTCATGCAGCTCGTGTGCAGATTCCCCACAAAGCGTAGCTGTCCTCTCGTAGACATGACATCTACATCTAGTCTCTATCACAGATTGCCTCAGTCTATACAGATGAAGCTTTCCGGAGGCTTCGCACCTCGAGCTTCAACATCGGACTGAAGCCGAGCTTCAAATGATCGTAGACTAAGGTTCTTGTCGAAGATGGCCATATCAATGCCTTTCTTCCTCTGCATCAATATGCTGACGGCGGCAAGACGAGCCACCCAGTTCCCCTGCGCTCGGAATATGCCCACTCCCAACGGGGGGTCAAGTAGCTCCTCCCAGCTATCAATAGACGTATACTCATACATAAGCATGGCATCCTCGTCGTCTTCATCATCTACTAGGCTGGGCAAATCAATTTCATTCCCGAACAGCATCTCGCTCTTGTTGATGCCGAGTATATCAAGATCGGCCACCCATTCTCCTCGGTCTCGCACCGATATGACAGACTCAACCAGGAAGACATCCTGGTCGATGGTCTGACTGTCTGCCGTAGCTAGCGGTAGAGTCCACTCAGTAAACGAGAGATGTAGCGAAGTGTCGTTGAAGTTGTTCTCCCGTTTCCCATCGTAGGGCGCATGGTTGACAATACAGTAATCATCCTTGGGCTCACGGATCTGCGGGTTGTGAGGAGCAACTAGCATTGATATGCCTCTCTTTCCAATATTGCCCACCAGCCGTCTTATCTCGTAGTCCTCGACCTTTTCCAGGGGGTCAGATAGTACCGCAGCTGCTACAAATATCGAGTTCTGGTTACAAATTGCCAATGTACTGTCTAAGTCGCTTGGTCGGATATTCGCCTGTCCCGAATCAAAGTGGGCAATACAGGCAAAGGCCTCTTGTCTGCTGGGGGCCTGTGGATGGGTTTTCCGGGCCTTGGATCTCATTGCGGAGCTGGAAGCATCTAAGACCCAGCTAGCATCGCATAGAGGTTGAGATGTAATGCGCAATAGTACGGTCAACCCTTCCAATTTGCTGTATATAAGCGTTGCGAGGTACAAGGAATGCAGAGCAGCAGAGGTGTGAGAGGAGACAATCCTAGAATTGCTCAGAATAAACAAATCTGTACCAGTCACGGGCTTTTTCGGATGGGTCATGTTTAGATACTCGTTCATCTTCGTCAGTTGTATCGGGTGTCTGCAAAGCTGCTGGACGGCCTGTTTGGGGGATATAGCGCCACATTTGACAAACTTATCATGCTGGCTCCGGGAGTTAGGTGTGTCTCTAACGAACAAGGCAAAGCGCCGGCTTCCATATACATTGATGAAGCCAGAGTAAGCTTTCCCGGCTGTTGAAACGAATGTATTTGGGAGCTCCAGCTCGAAGCAGTTGCATGTACTTGCAGGCTCATCAGCTACCAAACAGGCCATGTCTGATATCGCTGCTGGTCCCCGGTCAGCTTCTTGACCTTTCTGACAGCGGAAGAGCGGCGGAGGATTATGCCACTTCACCGAAAGGAGTTCACTGTCAGATGTAGTCTGCCCATGTTTAGTGAAAAAGCAGCGTTCATTGGTTGTAGGGTCTAGGTTGATGCGCTTGACGCGGCTGTTGATCTCCTTCTCTACCCTTTCAGTGCTCCCACTGCTATCAGAGCATATGGAGTACCATTTGGCATGCATCTCATGGTATATCTCTTCCCCTTTTGAGCCTCTCTTGCCAGTGGCCTTTATCCAGAGAGGCGTTGCCGTAGCATATTCAAAATAGTGCGGTTTTCCGCTTTTCCAGCCCCGTCCAATCCAGTGTGCCTGGACAATCAGACAGTCGCTGCTCGCATAGCCCATTGACTGCGCGAGTCCTCTCAAATATGTAAGGTCGCAGTCGTCGCCAGAAAGTGCCGAGAGGAGAAGCTGGTTGCAAAGACCAAAGTACGGGGGAATTTTATCTTCATCCCGTCGAAGGAACTTCGTTGCTCTCCGCTGACCGTATCTGAGAAGTCTGGTATTTTCTTCCTTCTCTTCTCCCTTAGATGAGCTAAGTTTCCTGCAAGCGTGGATAATGGGATTAATCCACCGTTCTGGCTTTTGGGTATGTAGCTCTGGCTGTTCTTCGGAGGCGGAGGAATTCAGAATGTCTCCAATGCAACAGAATAGTTGAATAGTGTCTTCGATATCTTTTGAGCCAACGCCCCAGTGGCCAAGAAGGCCTCCGAAAGCGACAATGCATAGCTGGGATATAGTTACTCGAGAATTATCTCTCGGACCTGTAACTTTGACAGCACTCCCGTAGTACTGTAGATGGGACAGGGCTAGCGACCACCGCACGCCTTCTGCTCCCTCATCATCTGACCCTTCGAGACCAATTGTGCAGACACCAGTGCTGGGGAATAAGGGGTCTTTGAACTTCACATTAACCGTTTCATTCCTTAGAACAATCATGTCTGGGTATAGATGCCAGGACGACATGGCCAATACTACCCCAGCATCCAGTATCGACTGAGGACGACCGCATAGCAGGTCCTCGACAGCCAGCATTGCCCGTTTCCAGGTCGAAACCACCTGTTCATACGTGGATGAGCCTCCGACAAAAGGCATCCTTACATTTTTCGATATGAGTAGCAGCTGGTCATGATCACGCTGCTTTGCTTGATCAGCACTGCGTAGCCAGGAGCGCGAGCTTGCATCCCACAGCGCAATATCATGTCTGGCAATTGGCTGGAGAGAGCTCATGGCGCTGGCTGTGGAGATAGGGACATTTCTCTCAAACGCACTCTGGATTTCCCTCTTCCTCTCCTCGATCAGCTCGACCCAGATAGCTATCGCTTTTCCAGAATCCCATGCCCGCGCTAGCAGGCAGGAGAGTAGATATATGCCCAGTGCAGCGACACCAGATGTCGCAGCCGCCCATACTGCTGTCCCGTCGGCCCCTACATATTCCTTGAAGGGGCCATGAGCTCGAGAGCCGGTGGGGTTGACACCAGGGGACTCAATGATTTCGGAGACTCTTGTACCGTACGCGGAGATGAGCTTTGGAGTAGACGGAATTAGGGGTTCGAACAATGCCGCCAGCCGTCGAGCTGTCTGGTGTTGCGGGCCATACTCGGCTTCATCTCGTCTCCTAAATGTCAGGGCGGATCCTAACGGCTGAAATTCTAGAGGCGCTTCGACTTTGACAAGGGAGAAGTCAAATTTGAGATTCGCCAGGCATGCAGTATTTTCGTTAGTTGCCGAGAGGATGGAGCCTTTGAAGGAACTAAGAGACATTAGCAGTAGAGTTCGACATATAAATGCCAGGGAGTATCAGGAGGATCCGGCTGCTGGTGATGGAAAGAGCCATATGTCTATGTGTTAGTTAAATACAGGACAGGAGATGCCAGTTGAGAACGAGGCTGGGCTGAGCATGTTACGAGTCTCACGCAGCATGCAACCTATTGGTCACCTCGCATTCAGGATAGGAAAAGACCAAGAAGCAACTCCCTGTCAAACTAGTAGTGTCTATGTAGCAATTTTGATCCCTGGTTTATGTCCTCGTCTATTAGTGTATGTATATGTGCTAAACAATCATAAGGTAAACCGCAAGACAGAACCCATCGCTATGAAACGCAGCAAACACAGGAAAAGGATATGGTAGAAAATAAAAAAAGGAGACAAGATGGCCAGGGATATCATTTTATGAGAAATCATGGGCAGGGAGTGTATCGGCAGTATCATGTCATCACATATCAGCAATGATATCAGCACCTACGCCTATGCCGACAGCACGAAGTTGGTTTTCAGCTTGCTTCTTCTCATGACGGAGTGCAAACAGTATCTATCATGCATTAGATCCAGTTCAGTTCGAGGCAGGAGTGGCAGTATATCGTCGAGAAACACTCACCCAGCATGAGAACATCAGCTCTAGCACGCCGTAGCCAAGCACAATCTTCCTCTTGAGATCATTCACATCATATCCCAACGCAGATCCGGACACAACAGCTGCAGTGCTGGGTCCGTCTCGGGTAAAATGCATGTTCTGGTCCAGCCATAGGATAGTCTTTCCGGCCGCAGATTGGAAAGGAGTTGCCATGGTACTTGCAGCTAGAGTGCTTGTGGCCGGCATTCCACCTACCGTGGCGGTTGACGGCAAAGCTGTAGATGAAGCACCCCATTCCGTGTCAGAGGAGAGATAAATCTGCAACGACACGATCATAAATATCCATGACCGAAGCGTGATCAGGAGAATGCACAGCTGGCGGTAGAGGGAGGAGAACTCGGCGGTAATCTTCAACGCAGCTTCATTGAGCTCGGTAGAGGTGGACGAGTCCGAGTCAGTGGAGGCCGTGGATGAAGTGGAAGAGCTTCGAGAAGCCGGTGGTCGGGTATATGGCAGTCTTGATCTTGATATTATCGGCGGAGGCCGAGCAGTAGACGAGGACGAGGAGGACGACGCCCGAGACTGGAGAAGAGACTCTCTCTGCTGCCGCTCCTGCTGCTGCCGAAGCTGTTGACGATGGATGAACTCGGCCACGGCCAGTACGTGGTTCAGCGTCGGCAGCTTGATGGCCAGCGTCAGGTCGAAGAGAGCAAACGAGAGCAGCAGGATGCCGCAGTATGCAAACGGTGACCGCGGGAGATTGAACGGCTGGAGAATGTCCTAGAAACGCACCGTCAGCATTCCATGGTCGTCAATTCCAACCCCAGATAGCCCTTATAACCCTTTATGCTGCATGTTTGCATTGCATGTTGGGCTGACTTACAATCCTGAGCTTGTCCCGGACTTTGTACACCAACTCCGGCCCGCCAACGGACTCGCGAGCGAAGGTCAGGTAGACGGCCAGTACCACCTGGAACAGGGCATGCAGCCTGATATAGGTCTTGGACGATATCCGGCCCATCGTGTCGTCTCTTCTCTGGGACTGCTGGCGCCGGCTGATGAGAGCGCCCCCGGTAGTTAGCTGGCGGACGACCTCAGCACCCTCGCTGAACGGCAGCCTCTCCTCCTGCAGGATCCCAGGCGGAGGAGGACAGGAAGAGAGCAGTACGGTCTCTCGCTCGGTGGTCTCGGTGCTGGCTGAGCCTTACATCTGATCGTAGTCGCGGCGGTGGAATGTCTGGGTCGCGGTAACTAGTTGGCGAGATGAAGGTGAGGATGTCACTTTTTGTTTAGTTAGCTGGAAAAAAAAAAAGCTGCAGGGATTCTTCTTATCACGAACATCCCACCAGCAGGGCCACTTTGATATCTGCTTAACGCCGCCATTAAGACTGGAACTGCCCTTATTTAACTACGTGGATGCGAAATATACCCCCGGCATGAGCCTCTAGAAGCAAGACAGGAACTGCTACCATCCGCCATGGCGCTGCGAAAGGACCGCCAGACGAAGTACTTCCTGCGCTGTCTCAAGACGCTGCTCCCGCATCCCTATACCTCCAATGACTCCAACCGGATGACGCTGGCGTATTTTACGCTGGCCGGGCTGGACCTGCTGGGTGCGTTGGGCGGCGAGAAGCCGGCGATATCAGCGTCAGAGAGGGCCGGCTACGTCAACTGGCTGTACTACTGCCAGGTGCCGACAGGAGGGTTCCGCGGCTTCACGGGCGCCAACTTCGGAGACGAGAAGAGGACGCGGGAGAACGAATGCTGGGACCCCGCGAATGTGCCCGCGACGTTCTTTGCGTTGGTGACGCTGCTGATTCTGGAGGACGACCTGGTGCGGGTCCGGCGGAGGGAATGTCTCGCCTGGCTGAAGAGCATGCAACGCGAAGACGGCTCGTTTGGACAGACTCTAGGGCCTGGGGGAAGCATTGACGGAGCTCGAGATCTGAGGTTCTGCTGCTGTGCGGCGGGCATCAGATATATCTTGCGCGGCGAGGACGAGGCTGATATAGGGAGTGATATTGACGCTGAAAGGCTGATTGACTATGTTCAGGCCTGCCAGGTAAGGTGTTTCTTATGCGTCTTATATCTAGGCGTAACTCTTCTGACGCTGTTCTAGACGTATGAGGGTGGATTCGCAGAGTCTCCGTTTAATGAGTCCAATGGTATGTGTGGCCTTGATAGCCCCCCTCTGGATCTCACTCTACTTATATGATTTGATAGCTGGTTTGACATACTGTGCGCTTGGTACACTATCCTTTCTTGGGTGTCTACGGCCTGAGAAGAAGTTTACATCTTCGGTGACAGTTCCTGGCTCTGCGGAGTATGAGCGTCTGATATCATGGCTGGTCTACAGACAGACTACGTTCATCGAACAGGAAGAAACCGAGGAGGAAGAGGACGGTGAAGGTGAGACGGCGGGCAACGACAAGCCTGTGACGGAGACACAAGATCAGAGCAAGACTGGCCTCTCCCTTGACAATGCCATAGCCTCGCTACCAAGCCTGAAAGCAGTGTCACCATCAACGAGCCTCTGCGCCGGATTCAACGGCAGACCCAACAAGATAGCTGACACCTGCTACTGCTTCTGGGTCACTGGCTCGCTCGCCGTGAGTCTCCCTCCCTAATTGGTCTCCATCTCTGCTGCCGCCAGTCCAGAGTGTCAACTAACACGTACCAACGATGGGCGGTAGATGCTTGACCAGCTGGGCCTGGTCGACTCGCAGGCCAACCGCCGCTACCTGCTCGAGAAGACACAGCATATGATCGGGGGGTTTGGCAAGACCGCTGGAGAACCGCCAGGTAAGCCCGAAGCCTCGTCTCCCGCCCATCCCTTGCTCGATGCATGTCCCTGTGCGGGTTCGTGGACTAATCAAGACCGCCGGAAGATCTGCTCCATTCATACCTTGGCCTTGCGTCTCTGGGACTCTTTGGCGAGGGGGCAGAAGAAGGAGGAGGAGGAGGAGGAGGAGAAGGCCTTGACGCCGTCGACCCTATGCTGTGTGCCAGTCGACGTGTTCGCAGACACCTGGACTCGCTCCCGTGGAAGAAGAAGACATGATGCTGCCGTCAGTCTCCAAGTACACCCGCGTAGCACAGCAGATCTCACGCCGTCATGCGACTCCATAGCCATCTCCACGACTATCAGTCAACATCAACATCAATATCAATATCAGACGTCAGATCTCAATCGTCAATCATCATCATCAATCATCATCATCATCATCATCGCCCGTCCGTTCCCCCCCCCTAGACCGTCTCGTAGGCTAAACTCAACTCGACTAAATAAAAATAAAGCAAAAAAGCAACGCGCGACCCTCAAACAAACCCCCTAAGAGCCAGCCAGCTTGGTTAACTAGCCTGTTTCGCATTTCCATCTCCTCGATCTCGATCTGCCTCTCGCCTCCGTCTCGTCACGACCGTTTCTACTGCTCTATAACTGCTCCCGGCCGGTATTCTCCTTCTCCTTCGTCTTCTTCCCCCGTCTTTCTATTTTATTATTTCTTTGCACGGCTCGTTGCTTTTTGGATGGCGTTAGTTAGGGGAGCGAACAAGGGGCAGCACATCGTCATAATCGACTCTTTTTTTCGCCTTCGCCAGGATTAAAGGAAATAAAAAAAAAAAGGGACAACTGCAGCTGCTGCGCTTTTTCTATTCAATAACTATTATTCTCTTCTTCTCCATCGAATGGGATGCAGCTTGATCGATAGACTCGGCCGGCGAATTTCATCTACCAGCAGCCAAACCGCGTCCTGCCTCGACCTCGCCCGCGCGGCGGACAGCTCAGTCTACACATGCCACCTCCAAAGTCCAAGGCCGAGTCGCAGCTTCAAAAGGAAAAGGTGAGTTTCTAGCGGATGGTCCTTTCTTCTTGTCCCTTGGGTCTAGATCAATTGATAAAGACGGAGTTGGCTGATTCTTGTCTTGTCGTCACAGCTTGTCAACTCGTACCATGAGCTCCTGAAGTAAGTCCCGCCTCGAACACCAGATACACCCCCTACAACAGTCCGGAGCAGGGATGCAGGCACGGAGACAGACAGATACTGATGGGCGTTGTCCTCTAGCGAGTTCTCTTCCAAAGAGCTGCGGAATGTCGGGAACTACGCTCTCGGAAAGCTGATTGGAAAGGGCTCCTTTGGCAAGGTCTACCTGGCTACACACAAGCTCACAAATGGATCAAAGGTATGAGAGAAATACGGGGAGATACATGGTGTCTATTACGCCGAAACAAGTGGCTAAAGGTGGATTGATAGGTTGTGCTCAAGTCCTCGTCTCGAGAGGACCCAAACCTCGCCCGCGAAATACACCACCACCGCCAATTTCACCACCCTCACATTGCCAGGCTGTACGAGGTGATAGTGACAGAGAAGCTCGTGTGGCTGGTGCTGGAATACTGTCCTGGTGCGCATTTGCATTGTCTTGAAAAATAATTCCCTACAGCAAAAGCCGGAACATGCTAATAGGCCGTAGGTGACGAGTTGTACAACCACCTCCTTCAGAACGGGCCCATGCCAATTGAAAAGACCCAGAAGATATTCACACAGCTAGTCGGAGCTGTTGCATACGTCCACAGCAAGTCCTGCGTTCATCGAGATCTCAAGCTGGAGAACATCCTCCTGGATAAACATGAGAATGTGAAACTATGCGATTTTGGCTTCACCAGAGAATACGACGGCAAGGCAAGCTATCTCCAAACTTTCTGCGGGACGATATGCTACAGTGCCCCCGAGATGCTCAAGGGCGAGAAATACGCTGGCGAAAAAGTCGACGTCTGGAGTCTGGGGATCATTCTCTACGCCCTCATAGCTGGAGAATTGCCATGGGACGATGACGATGACCAGGTCACCAAATCCAGGATTCTCACTGAGGAGCCCAAATATACCGACCGGTTCCCGGACGACGCCAAATCTCTGATCAATTTGCTGCTCTCGAAACGTCCGCTTCTCCGTCCGACTCTCAGTGATGTCCTGGCCCATCCGTTCCTGGCTGAATTTGCTCCCCAGCAGCAGGCCAATCTAAAGCTCACTCGACCTCCTCCCTTCTCAACTCCGCTGGAAAAGGCAACGCTGGAGCGTATGCGGAGCGCAGGCGTAAATACGGAACAGGTCATGCAGAATGTGCTAGCACAGCGATGCGACGCTCTGGCAGGCTGGTGGACGCTGTTGATCGAAAAGGAGGAGCGCAAGGAGAGACGCAGAGAAAGAAAGAGACGGGAAAAGGAAGCCGAAGCTAAGAATCTACGGCGACTGAGCGCTGCAAGCAGCCGGCTGGAACGGATATCTGCTGCTCTTGTCGAGGTAGATGAAGAAGGGCATCCTGAAGATCCCAGGTCGCGAGGCAGACGAGAAAGACGAAGCTTGACAAGTCGTAAGGATGCCTACACTATCTAATGCCATTGTTCAGATCATTTATACTAACTTCTTTTTACAGAGCAATTGAACGTCCCAGATCTGCCAAAGCTGCCTGAAACTGCGCCATCTTCAGACGGTCTGCTCACTCCTCCGCTACCACCGCCCCCTCCGGTAGAGAAGGACTTCCCGCGACCCCCTAGATCTACTTCCAGAGGCCGTCCTGTGCCTCCTCCTAAAGAACGGCGGATCTCCAAAGGAAGCAATTATCACCTAAGTGCGTCTCAGCCGGATCTAACGCGTCCTCAGGGGATCTTACGACGGCAAGGGGCACGGCGTCGCCAATACCCTATCATCAGCCAGCTAGCGCAGCTCAAACACTGGATAATAGAGTCTACCAAACGCGCTAAATCACCACATCCGAAGGCCTTCTCCAGCTCTACCAGAAAATTCCTCTCCAATCACTCGAGCCCCCCAAAGAAGGGAGATACACCCAACAAGGACGCAGCCGTCACACCCACAAGTCCTAATTTCCCTCAGAACCAGCAAACTCCCACGGCTAAACGATCTTCTAATGCTAGCAGTCTGGCACTCAGCAATGCTTCTTACCCCGGCGCCAGGCGGACGTCATCTCACGCCCAGCGACCCTTGAATACCTCGAGCTCACATAACCGCAACTCCCTCTCTCCGTCTCCACTAACTCCTCGAAACTCATACCGCCGCTCCTCTGCTGGTTTAAGAGGACGCAAGTCTACTTCTTCGTCTGTCTCCTCCATTCGCACCGTTCACCACGCTCACTCCCATTCAAAAACGTCCTCTATATCCTCTAACAGCATCGACACTGTTTCGACCCCAACCGGGCCCTCTGCCAAAGCCCTCGGACGCTCTCCTCATTCTTCCATTAAGATCCTCCCCGCTACACCAACCTCCATGTCCGTCTTTCCAAGCAACATTCGACTCGTAAGAGGAGGCCCAAACAACAGTCTAACAAGTGCCTTCAATGAAGCTGCTCCTGCACTTATACCTTCGCCTTCGTCTGGGCCCATCTTTGCCCGGAGGAAGCGAGCCACCTTCAAGGGTCCCACGCTTAGCTCGACACATATGCTTTCCGGCGCTGGACCCGGCACCCCCAGTCTTATGCGCAGCAGGGCTAGCAGCGTAGCCTCAGGCGAGATAATGATGGCTGGAGCACGAAAGAGCCAAATTATAGAAGAAGAGGAGGACGAAGTATTACCGGATGACACCACGGAAGAAGTAGACTGCTTCAGTCCAACCGACGAACGGGGCCCAGGTTTTCCTGAATCCTCATCTTCTGTCCCCCTTGATGCTAAATACGCAAATGCAATAGCTGCCGCTGCAACAATGGACCCAGCCAATCTTCGCTCTGGCTCCGAGCGTGATGGATCCCCTGATTCTCGTCAACTTCTTCCCGCCGCCGAAATCACCGAACTTCCTTCTTTTTCAAAAATACCATCAACAGAGCATGACCGATCCCCTTTACGCCCGCCACGTTCATCATCACTTCGAGAAGCCAAAAATGGTTCTCCCGGCAGTTTAAATGCAAGTGATTCCCTGGACAATATAGCAGAAACCTCTCCTACTCTCAAGAAAACCTCGACCGCCACAAGCAGCTAGACCTTTTCCTCTCTCTCTCCCTCGCTCTCTTCCCTCCTCTCCTTTCCTTTCTTTTCCATCAGTATAAATGACACGAATTTACTCCATTGTGATATCCCCTGCGTTACATCATCTACTTCCATCTCATTTGTCAGGATATATATAAAGTCTTCTTTTGCCCCTGTTTATTCTTTTCCCTGCCAGGTCTACTCTATATCCTATGTACCCATATTCCTCTCTTCCTGTCCAGACTCTCGCTTACATTATTACATGACCCATTGATACCATTTTTCCATTTTGATAAATTGGAGTCTCGTCAGGTTCTGTCCTTCGAGTACAATTCAAAATGCACCTCCTGCCTCGTCGACTCTCTTTCATTTTCTTCTCAGCATACTTTTACGCCTTACATCTTTATTATTCGCTTTGGTATGTATTTCAACTGCTAACTCTTTACTTGTTCCCTTTTTTCACTCGTGAGCTATTGTCTCCTGATCATAGAGTTATTGTTCTTTTATAATCAGGTCTGTCTGATGCATATATTTGGAAGGCCTAGTTACATTTGATAGTTAGTACTGCTCGTATATACATCCATTACGACTCTTTTCTAGGCCTTTTCATAATATTTGGACAAATACGTAGTTAGTCTTCATGGAAATCAAACTCTAGACATTTAAGGTATATTTTCATTACACTCCGTATGGACTACAGTTCGATTTCAACACTAGGATTCCTTAAATCATTGAAGCTAGTTGGATTTATTTCTCCTAGTCTAATTAGCCTGAACAAGTATACAAATTTCAACCATTCATGAGTATAGATCTTATCTACTTTCCTTTACTCCGGCGGTGTCAACAGCAACCTCGGCTGCCCCCTTATGTTCTTCATCCTCCCTAGCGTCCGTGATACCAATGTCACTATCTCCAATTTTATCAGCCGGGTCGCGATACGAGGGTACAAAGTTGACACAAATAGCATATGTCCATGCTACCGCCATAAGCTAAATATGAACCACGTTAGTATCTAATGAGGTGAATGCTCGAACTAATCAAAACAAAGATCCTTACAATCGTTGGTACAATCATCGCGAAGCCAGTAGAGTCGTGCAAGTCAGCAACATAGCCTAACAGTGGAGGAACGGCAGCTCCGCCTGAAACACCAGCAACAATGAACCCGGATCCACGCTTGTAATGTTTTCCTAGGCCCCGGATTCCAAGCGCGACTATGGTTGGGAAGCAAACTGATTCGAAAAATAGAACCATGAAAAGCATAGCTATCGGAGAGTTAGCCACCAAACATCTTCTCAACAGTCTATATCCTTGGGAACAGGTACATACCAACACCTGTATTACCCCTCTGTGTAGTGGATGCAGCTAGGAAAATAAAAACTCCAGCGAGATATACAAGGAAAATCCACCTAGCCCGGACAAACTTCATCAGCAAGGCCCCTGAAAATCGGCCAACAGTAAAGGCCCCCTGAGCACCAGCAAGAAATTTCGCTCCCAAGGCACTTGAAGTATTCTCCCGTGTTTCCACGCTATAGTTGATGAAATATGAAGCAATTGCCACTAGATATTTTAATTAGACATGCTACTGGCAACATTGAATATATAGTACTGGAGTAATAATACGTACCTTGCGATCCCACGTATAGAAATTGGGCGAATGCGGCATGGAACAACTGGTATTTCTTCCAGAAAGAGTCATTGTTATCTTCAACGTGGGTCAAAGCAACCTGATATTCCATATCTGCATCTGTCACTTCCGGGATATCGGATATATAGAAAACGGCTGCAAGACAAAAGACAAATATTGCAATAGCAAGATAAACCCATTGGACTCTTTGCAGCGCATTGACATTATCAGCTGTTGTAGTGAAAAACACATACGAACCAAGTACAGGTCCCACAACTGTGCCAATGGCGTTGAAAGCCTGAGCAAAGTTGATTCGGATTTCGGCATATTTTGGTGGACCGCAAACTACCGCGCATTAAATTAGCAAGGATATGTTTGGCATGCATGATAAATGCTACGTACCCGAAAGATATGGGTTTGCAGCAGTTTCGAGGGATCCCAGCCCGGAGCCAATGACAAATGTTGCGCCGCAGAATCCGCCAAATGATTGATGTAACCCAGCTGGCCACATACAGAGGGCCCCAATCCCATAGAGAGATAAACCCAGGATAAACACAGATTTGTAACCCCAGTTCCGGAGCATCCAGTTAGCATAGCCAAGGGAAGCAAGGGGATACGCCCTATATATAAGATCAACACAGGAAGCTCTATCTAGGAAAGGGAAAGAAATACCCAAAGTATGCAGCTTGTAGTCCTGATGAACGGGTTCGAGTGATTCCTAGCGTGTTCTGGAAGTGCTTATTGAGAGTGTCCAGCAGGCCGTACGCAAAACCCTAAAAGCACTGAGTTTGATTCCCGCTCCAGGGTAGAAAATGATCAAGGTAGAACCAACCCATAGGAAGAACAGGATGGTCACAATAGTGAGCGGCCACAGACTCTGCCGTAATGTTAGTTGGGCAGCATTGGTGACCTGATCGTTTCTCGCTCGTATATGGCGGCTTCGAAGGAAGCTTATGACACCCATTCTGAAGTAAGAGCCGCAGCAAGCTTTGATAGCAATGGCGGTGTTTGAAAAGGAGACAAACTATACCAGTCGATTTCCAGGTGACCGGCTATAATGAGGATAGATGAGAGGGTGGCGCAGAGGAAATGGAGATTGAGTACGGAGTAATATATCTATTAATGTAATAAGTAGTTCAGATGGAGTGAATCCCGTACCCGTCGTTAGAAACTTGAATCAAACGGGAGAGGATCCGCACTTCGGATTTCTCCTCACGTCTTCATCCCGTGAGAGGTCGCTTAGATCTTATGTGCGTCAAAGGATCATGGCGTTGACAGGGAATTTCGGCTTTGCGTGAAGAAGGATCAACATTGACTTGGTTTATGGAGTACAACGTCGACCATCGTTCCTCGATCAGTCTCCCTTTTCCCCAACTCTCTCAGGGTAATGAAAAATCGACTTTCCTCTCCTACAGCCTCCTGACGCCCTGTCGCGTGTCGGCGTTGCTCCGTATACAAGAACCCCGGATTTTCCTGCAGAGAGTTGGTTCGCTGGGAATCAACGATGAAACCTCGTAAAGAAAAATAAACCGCAGTGCCAAGAAACGGGAACCTGATGCTTAATAATAACTCTAACCTTAAGTCCGAAGGCTGACGTAATAATAACTACCTTATTCCTTATTCCGGCCTAGGGGAATAGGACTATATTGACTCCATGAGCAGTGATAATTAATACGTGAGATAGCTCTGTGTTTGAAAGTGTCCTTTTCGAGCGCTCTCAATTGCAAAACACACTTATTTTGTTATATTTAAAGCCCGAAAAATCCTATTTTAGTCCCGAAATATCCTAAAAGTACAAAACAGTCCCAAGTTGTGGACGGGTATACAAACCTGATGAATCGATAATAGCATAAATATATTAAAGATTTTCTTGGAATCTAGATAGCCTAGATCCAGCTGTGGCCAGGCTTCCGCTTCCTGCCTCTCCTGGAGTAGGGCTGGTTTGAGAGCCTAGGTCTTCTGGCACAGAGCGTCTGTTGACCGTGAACGAGCCCTGATTTCCGGTTCGCCTAGCAGGCCGCTGGAACAGATGCGGAAATGCCATTCGTTTCTTGGGCCTTGTTCCATCCTCCTGTCTCTGACCTCCAGGACTCCCGTGGCTAGACCCCTCGTTTGAGCTACTCCAATGGCTCGATGGCGCGTGGTGTGGACTGTCGGGTATTATCGCCCCTGAAGCCATTGGAGCCATGGACTGGTCAGGAGTTGCGGGACGTTCTTTCTCTATCTCAGTCACTATCCGCTCTTCAATTCGCTCTACTTCGCGTGGTGGCTCATCTCCCGCAGCATCCTCCTGTGGTTTTGTGAACCACGTCTTGTGGATAGCCTTTTGCCTGCGGATGTGTTTCGCCTGGGACCCAGCCTGTTCAGTAAGAGCGGTCTCTTCATTAGTTGCTTCTTCAGCAGTGGGCGCCTCTTGAGTTAACTCGGTGCCATCCGCGACTTTAGGGGCCTCAGGAGCCTCAGTAGTCTCGGCAGCTTCAGCTGCCTCTGTTGGGAGAGTGACTGGCTCAGAGGGCTTCTCGACCATTTCTGGAGAGGAGTATGGGCGTGGAGGACGGTCTGGGATTCTTCCACCTTCCTGTAGAGCCTGGAGTATGGTTTCACCCTTTCCTTCCTCACTGCGCACTCGCTTGGGAGGGTATGGCCATGTTGACACTGGTTCTTCGTCTGACTCATATCTGTCGTATGACCTCTTCTTCTGCATCCATCGCCTTTCCTTCTCAGGGTGGTGCATGAGATCTACCTCTCATTATTAGCAGGTGTTTCCAATATACGCAGAGTTAAAAACATCCATACCTATTATCTTTTTATTAAGCCGGCGGACTTCCTTGTCTCGCTCCATCTGGGTGCTAATAAAACGATGATAGCGTTCCTCGTCCAGCTTATCTGTTATCCTTCTCGAATTTCGTTCTGCCACTTCATCATCAATATTGTGCAAGGCCGGTCGCACCCTTGCTCTTGCCATATCATCCACGTTTCTCGGTGGGAGTAGCGGTGCGCCGGCTCTCATTTGTTCTGGACCAACATCAACAAAGGCAGTGGATTCCCGGTTTGCCAACACAAGCTCATTAGCATGACGCTCCCACTCTCTCATAATCGCCGGTGATGGGCGTTTATGATAACTGTAGATGTGATTATCAATATTGTCTATCATCCTCTTGACGTTCCTCTGCGCAGCATCCATGGTTTCATCATCGTAGTATACCTCATTCCTGTCTCGCCTAGACTGAGTGCGAGCCCGCTTGATCGAACCATCACCATACTTCCCACGATCTGTGAAGCCTTCAGAGCTTGGCCGAACCTTGGTAGCGGTAAAATACTGCTGGGACCGGGGACGATTACTTTCATACATAGTGCTAGCTTCAGGGGGCCGCTGATATCTTCCACTTGAAGGACGTTGGTGACGGGATACTCGTTCCTCTGGCTCTTCCATAGTAAAGCTCGAGGTTTCCATATCCTTGGTTAAGTCCTCCTTTGGTATGATAGCATACATCTGCTTTGCCATCGAAACCGCGGCAGCTTGTAGGGTATCCCTTTTCCGACTTTCTTCAATCGTAGTACTCACCGGTGGGTGTGAGGTATACATCTCTCTTCGGGCATTGGTAATAGCTGGGTTATAGGGCCTTTTGGGACTTAGTTGAAATTCAACCTTCTTCTCCGCGGTGGGCCTCCCATGTCGGGAGGCGCGATGGCTTATCGTTGCCGCTGAAAGGGCCTCGGTTAAATCAGAAACCCCATCTGGAGGACTCGCCATAGATTCCACCTGTTTTCGGCTTGAAGACATGGCACCCGTTGCTGCCATTCTTGCCTCTGGGCCCTCATCTTTGATATTAACATCACCTAAGCCCGACACCCCGCTATCCCGAAAGGATCTATAGGCGGCTTTTAAGCCAATAGAGCTCGGTGGCTCCTCCTCATGCTTGTCAAAGAATGATGCATCAGGCCTCTTAGTGACCCCCGGTTTTGCGTATCCCCCACGGGTTACATAGCTTGCGGCCGCACTAGCAGGTGCAAGGTCATATTCACCGGCTTCTCTCGAAGACCGCTTGCTGCTCGCAGAGCGCAGCCCTATCGCCACCCAAGTAGACAACTTAGTAAATTGCTCAGGATAACCCCAATATTCAACACTGTCTCCCTTTTTCCTCATATCCGGGGTTGCATACCGCTGGAAGTTCTAAATCCTGTTCTCTCCGGCTTCGTAACGTACAATGCCGCTGCACTAGCAGCTGAACATACCAAAAAAAGCCGTTAGAAAAGCTTGATACAGAGAGGAAATAGTATGCGCACTACTCACCATCTTCAGAGTCAGGATCAATCCGAGACCCTATAGATATAGGACGCATGCGGCTAGCCATAACCACAAGATGTTTAGTCCAAACTCCAGTGAGAAATGAGTCGAACGAACAGTGGTATCTTGATAGAAGTTCGACATGGTTTGAGAGAAGAAATTGAGGTGAACCGCAGCGTAGCCGATATCACTGGCGAGAGTGTTAGGTTTGCCCATCGTTAGTGTGCACCAGAAAACAGTTTGACGTTATGACGTTCGATTTAATGGCGGGTGGCTAAATCTAATCAATTGGCCAATGAGAAATCGGCGGAGCCTATGACGTAGCCTCACGTGACAGGTATCGTTTATGACATAAGCAAGCTGTGTTCATTGTCTATATACCTGTATAGGCAGCAGAACGAGACAAAGAGAGAACAGAACGAGTTCAAGCACCTGCAAAGCAAATTAATCAGCTTTTTGACGAAAATGCTCAGCTAAGAGACGAAAATATTGCGAAAAAGGCGAGATTAGAGGCGAACTTACGTGTAAAGGGCAGCCTGAAGTTTTGTTTGGCGCCTTTGCTGATCTCGCCAAGGCTTCTGGATCTCATATGATGGCTGCCTGCTCTCTTGACACTGCTATGTAGAATAATGTGCCTGATAGAAAGACACCGCATCAGAACCCCGCAAATACCACAGTCTATGCATGACGATGCGTAACCTGAGATCTAGCATAGCTAAAGCCGTCGTCGAGTCCGGGCCATGCAAAACATTAGGCTTGGCAGGGCTAGAGTATACGACGCCCGACTCACCGCGCCAGTACAATGTTCTCAAGGTCATACCCACAGGGTCCAGACTTCCAGACTTAACTGCATCGGAGCGGAAGCTTCTAAGGCAAAAGCAACAACGACTAGCAGCGGATAAAGCCTCCCTGGACCGAGAGGCAAGGGAGTGCTTGGGTGGAGGCAACCTATACGTCCATAATGGTCTTCAAGCAACATTGATATTTTCCCAATATGAAGCCGGGACTGCAGTCTGCATTGGATCAGACGGCTGGGCGTTAACATGTGCACACTGCTTCGGGGATACAGAGGAAGAACTGCAGACGTCAGACAAACGTCGCTGGCTCCTATTCTATACCGGTTTGGCAGTACAGGCCGAATGCGTAACTTGGGATGCAAAAAGGGACTTAGCTCTTCTCAAGATCATTGCTATAGAGGCCGATGCTAGTCAGAATGGGGAGGGCATTGTTTGTTCTTTCCCATTTGTGCAATTAGCACCGAAAAGGCCAGCAGTAAACAGTCCTATAATATGCATTGGACAACCGGGAGTGGACGATTTGGAATCTAGTGCGCCGACGAAAAACAAGTTTGATTTTGTGGAGTTATCCACTGGAAAATTCCGTGGGATGGTAGCCGGTGGCGACTGGCAGGATAATTCTGAGATAGGCCAGATGAAGCATGATGCCTGGACATATTGGGGCCACTCGGGCGCACCTTTGCTTGCCGAGGCTGATGGTACTCTGATTGGACTGCACTCTTCTTGGGACGATCAGACTGGCATGCGCCACGGCATTCCTCTTGTTGCTATCCAAGCATTCCTCGCACAACATGCTGGATTAATGAGTTCCATAGGGCAAGCTGCTAAAGCTCAAGACGACCCTACCTTGTCAAAACTGGCCGTGGAGGAAGAGGTGATTGTTCTTAGTGATTAGCCGGAATTCTGGTCAATATCTTGTTTCAAAAAGAATAGACTAGCGTCTGTAGCGCTCAAAATCTTTTTTATTTTGGAACAAAGGAAAGTCTATCGCCTTGAAGCTTTCTGTTGTACAGGCGCCAAACCGTTAAATTATCAAAACCAAAACGAGCGCGAAAGAGCGGGAGAACAACTGAGCGTAGAAAAAGGCTCATCGATGGCAGAGATGGTCTTCACTCCTAAGTAAGGTTGAGGCATTGATAATGCCTACATCAACAGACGCCAGGCACCGAGTATCAAAGCCGCTGTACCAGTGCATACACCCCTAAGATACAAGTTAGCATGATGTGCCCCTGATTTCTGAATTGCTGACAACTTACATTAGCCACTGGAGAGTTGAGAACTTCACAGCCTCAACTCTTTCCCTAACACCAGCTACTTCCTGCTCAATTCTGGTCTCTGTCTCTTTTATCCTCATCTCTTGTCCATTAGATTCCTCACGTATCCTCCCCTTTTCGAGATTCAGATCCAGCCTAACAGAAGCTTGCGTTCGGCCTATCTCATCTCTCAATCGAGAGTTAAGTTTGGCTAGGTCTCCCGCAATTTTATCATGCGACGAGCGGGTAAGCTGTGCCTCTGTTGAATCCGAGTTTAACAGTTCGGAGCGGAGTTTAGCAAAATCGACTTTTTGGGTATACGCGGAACGTTCGGCATCTATCGAGGTTTGTAGTCAGCGTATGTCCATAATCAACAGTACAAGTTCATCAAGATTTGAGTGTAAAGCGAACGAACCTTCTCTTGATACCATTGCCCGTGTGAGATTCTGCATCGACTCTTCGATAACATCTGACATAACTTTCATCAGGGCGACGGCTTGCTCCTCGCTGAACCCTTCATTCTTTAGACGCTGTACAACCTTAAGTGTATCAAAATGATGGTCCTTCTTCACAACCGCGGTCTGATGGAAAGCTCTTCGAGCCGGATTAAACGTCGCTACGTAGACGCCATTATGCCTTATCGGGATTGACCCGGAGGTAGTCTCCTGGAGCTTCGGAGAGCTCTGTTGATGAAGAATAACGGCATGCTTTTGTATTAAAGGAGATGACGTCCGATAGGATACCGATGAAAAGTGACGCTGGTATGATGGGACGAGTTGAAGGGAATTTGAAGATGCCGGGGGTAAGAGACGTTGGTTGTTTAGCTGGGAGCTATTGCCGGATAGAAAGATAGATCGAAGGGAGGTTTCGACTGAGCGACGCCGGGAGGGTCTCACAATGCGCGGCGACTCGGTGACGACAAGCTGTAGTTTAGGCATGGTTGTGCTTTGTTGATGGCTCAAGGCAGTGCCTTGTTGTCTCTGCCTGTGGAATGATCGGATGACCTTCGGGAATGGATGGAAGTTTTGGCACATGCGGAAAACCTTACAAAGTTCGATCGATAAGAAACCGCAGCACGTGATCTGCTGGTTTTGATTATGTCATCTTCCCCTTGCCGCTTTTAGAGTTTCTATAGATTCATCAATAGAATGGGCTAGTTATTGACACGAAGGGAGGTTATGAAGGGCTAGTAGTGGAACGGTGCCGAAATAGTCTTCATATCTGCAGGTTGGATAGTCTCTAACTATCATTAATACAAAAAGGAAGCTAAGCCAATCATCATAGATGGCTTAGATATATCTACAAGCCAAACAGCTCCTTAAGCAGTTTTATGGTATCTTGTGGTCCAGAAACGGAGTGGCCGATAGTTCGCTTATCGCTAAAGATTTCATAGTCGTTTCCACCTTCAAAGCACTTGTCACCAAAGAAGTGAATGGTGGTATATTCAACTCCAGAGATGGACTTCTCAGCTTCAATGTGCTGAAGGCAGTAGGTCTTGTCCCAGCCAGTAGGGAAGACATCGAAGGAGATTTGTCCTCCAATGGAGTAGCTATAAGCCTGTATTAGATGTATGTTGGAAAAAAAAAAAATTTATTCATGGCAGCCAAGACTTACGTGAGTCCATAGTCAGGGAATTCTTTCTTCAAAGCCTCGACCAGGGTCTTGCGGATGTTGTGCTGCTTGTCATACCTATATCCAGTATATTAGTTAACTCCACAAAGCCAAGTCATCTACTCAGGGGTGATTATACTTCTCAAACTCATTTCTCTCTTCTACACTGGCATTTCGTCCAATAGGACTGATGTTGACCATGCCGTTTCTGAATTCCATGAAGGTACCTCGCTTCTTTGGAAGTGTCAACTTGGACATATATCCAAGGACGAAGTTGACGAGCTTCTGGTACTTCTCTTCACCAAGCCATTGAATGAAGCTGTTGCTAGCCATTGGCTTGCCGAGTCTGAAGGCAGTCAGACCGTTCTCAGCAAAGCAGAAATCAAACAGGGATGTGACATTTGTAGCAGGGGTGGCCAGTTGTTCTTGTTGTTTGACGAGATCGGAGCCCCCAACCTGTGAGAAGGGGACGGTTAATAACGGATGCTCTTTTGCTGGGTGCTGCAGGCATATGATGCACCACTTACGAAGCCAATGGCGCACTTGTGTCGGAGCTGGGAGAGAAGTTGTAGCATCTCGGGGGATACACCCTGTATGGTTCACAGTTAGAAAGCAATTCAGAGAGATTATTAACGAAATAATGGCCTGGAAATACCTGTCGAGCGGGTGTTAGAGTGCCATCGACGTCGAACAGGCAGATAGTGCTCTTGACAGGGCGGTTTTCGAGGGAAGGGTACAGGCTAGCACCTTCGGTAGTCATCGTGGCAATGATTTTAGATGGATAACGTGTATATTATGGCCCAATTGATGCAATGAAACGATTGATCCCAGACTGGTCGGTTATGTATGCTGTTAGATTCTGGAGAGTTGATAGTTGTCCACTTTAGCTAGATGGCGGGGCTCTGGGCCCCGTGTTTGTTGTAGTTACGGGGCTGTTGTCGATAAGAATCAGTCATGTGACGCGTCCTTGTCCATGTGGAGGTGCAGCAAAAGACAAAGATAGAAAAGCAGATGGACGGGGTTTTCAACTAATATGTATATCCAAGTATAAACTATGTATATCTATTAAGACAGTATGATGAATGAAGAACACTTTTTGGGCCATGCATGAAATAGCAAGACGCCCTCGTCATAAGACCGCTCCAGCCTTCTTGAAAAAACTCCTGATGCGCCATGATATATCCCGGTTCGAATGCCATGCCGGAGGCAGTATGAAAAGACAAGATAGAAAAAAGAGACACATATATCGTAAATATGCGGCATTAAAAAGAGAATAGTTGAGATGTTGTGCCTTCGGAAGATAATCTGGGGAGGAGAGAGGCGGGGATACAGTGGGTATCACATGCCCATAAGGATTAAAATAATTAGGAAAGGGAGAGAAGAGATGCTCTATTGACCTGTTTATGCGGCAGCAGGCTCGATCTTCTTCCCCTTGACGCTCTTCCATTCCATGCCGACGGAACCGATAACGCTGAGAGCCGCAAGGGCTGTGGCGACGTACCAAGTCTTGGTCAGAGCGTCGTTGTATGCAACCTGGACACCATCGAGGAACTGGGGTGGAATCATGTTCTTCAACTGGGTGGCACCAACTCTGAGGACGACCTGGGGATCAAGACCCGGAGCAGCATTAACGACACCCTTAACAAGGAGGTTGGTAAAGACGTTCTGGCCGACTGACACAAAGAGGGCACCTCCAAGAGTCTGGCAGAACATCATGATGACGGTTCCAACGGCAACGTCTTCAAGTGGAAGGACAGCCTGGGCAGCAATGATGGAGAGTTGGAGACCAGTTCCAACACCAGCACCAAAGATGATCTGGTAACCGATCCATTTGCCTTTGCTAGTTTCAGTAGTGAAGGTGGTAAGGAGGCCAGCACCAATAGAAGTGAGGACGGTAGAGACATAGTAAAGAGGAGCGTAGTAGCCGATAGCAGTGACGGTGATACCGGACGCGATTGAGAGAACAACAAGAGACAGAACCATGGGGATGTTCATGATACCAGAGCTGGTAGCACTAGCACCCTTGATTGCCTGGAACCAGATGGGGAGGTAGTAGACCATGATGAAGAAAGCACTTCCAATGGTGAAAAGGAAGAATGCGCCTGATGCAATGCTACGCTTCTTCAGGATGCGCGGAGGAACAGTGGCCGAGTCACCACCTCGAATCTGGAAATAGATAAAACCTGAAATGAGGACGGCAAAAACGACGAAGAGGGCGATAATGCGGCCGTTGTTCCATGGGTACTTGGTACCACCCCACTGAAGAGCGAGTAGGAGACAGATGATACTGGGCATGAAGAAAGCGGTTCCGATAGGATCGAGCTTCAAAAGACGAGCTTTCCATGTCTGGTTGTTATCGAGCTTCTGCTTGGGGTGCTTGAGGAAGATGAGAATGGAGAGAATGGTAACAGCGCCGATTGGGAGGTTAATGTAGAAGCACCACCTCCAAGAGATGTGGTCGGTAAAAGCACCGCCCATTAGAGGACCTGCCACAGAGGCAATACCGTACATTCCTCCAATAGCTCCGGTGTCTGAAAAAAAGGTTGCTTGTTAGCGACACCTCAACAACAGTTGGCTAACTAAAGCAAGCTCTACAAAAGAAAAAGCAAAGTCAAGCGATGGTGAAGCCGGAAAAAAAAAAAAAAAAAAAAAAATTAAACTTACACGCTGGTCGCTTTTCCAATGGGATGGAGTATGCAATGATAATCAGGGCGCCGGAAAAAATACCGGCGGAACCAATGCCAGCAACAGCACGGCCGATAATAAGGGCGGTCGAATTAGGTGCAGCACCGCAGATAGCGGACCCGATTTCGAAAATGGTGATGGCAATCAAGAAGACCCATTTGACAGGGAAGAAAGTATAGATTTTGCCAAAAATCAACTGAAAGGCACAGATAGTGAGCAGATACGAGCTTCCGTACCAGCCAATATCTTCGAGCGCATGGAACTGATCAGTGATCTTGGGAATGGCAGTAGCAATAATGGTGTTGTCCTGACATGTCGCACGATGTTAGATATTGACCATACGAATAGCAAATCTGTAAATGGGGGCCGATTAACTTACCAAAGCGACAAGAAGGACAGAGAGACACAGGCCAGTCACGATGACTGCAAGCTTTAACCCGGTAACATGGTTGACAGTCTCATAGTCTTCTGACACGGCATTGCTCTTCGCCTTGGTGAGGCCGTCTGCACCGTCAGTATCCTTCTCAGTCATGTTGCTAGCTTCCCTAGTGTCGTCGCTTAGATCGTTGGTCGAAGGGCCTTTGCTAGGTAGTGCAGAAGTGGCGCTGGATTCGACGTCTGTCTCCTTGACAGGTAGCTCGCTCGTCGTCTGGGTCTTGGAGAAAAGGCCCATGGCTGCTAGATTATTTCACCCCCTTTCGCGTTATGCAGGGCAGGGTTCACAGGTGACAGTGCAGATAGGTATGTGAGTGACGACACCCCCGGACCCCAGGTCTTCCCGTACTATCCTTTGGTCGAAAGATAAAGCTGGCTATCGAACAAAACCAGAAGGGACAAAAGAAATCCCAAAGGGATCTGAGTCAGATTTATATCTCATGCATTTTTTTTTTTTTTTTCCTGCACATCCTTCCGCCAGTAGCCCCGGGAACGGAGGAAGCGAGCTGCGATCCCTGGAATCTCGGCTGACGGAAAAGAATAAAAATAAAAGGGGGATAATAATAGACCCAGACAGAAGAAAGCTAAAACTCAAAGGCTAACTTCTGGACTTTCGTGGCATATAAGCCAATGACGCCTTCGTGTGAGAACCAGGGCCGCCGTCCCAGTTTGTCTTCCTTTGGACCTTCAGGGGGAAGGTCACCACGCTCATGGAGAAGTGTGAGGCTGGCCCTCTCCCCCGATGATGGATAGTCGAGAGCAGCACATACGCCTGCGGCCAAGTGTCGATGCATCCTCCACACCTCGTACGCAGCACAGCCTTTCTCACCACGCCTGATGAGGCCGAATGAGCGCATAAAAGTCTGGAAACGAATATCTGTGTCCCGCTAAGGATTTTGGCTTAAGCTGCTGCCTAGATGATACGGCTAACGAACTCTTTCAGCCTCGTAATCTGATCCAGGCATGGAACACTGAATCGTGCTCGTTCGGGTCCAGCTTGCAGCCGTTCCCGGACGTGGAACGGAGAATCGCCATGTGCCTTTTTGGTGAATGTTCTTCCAATGCGAGGGCCCGGAAAAAGCCATCTGCGTGATCGCCGCTCCAGCGGCCTGCTGCTCTCCCTTCTTTTGTTTGTACAACCAACCCAACGTCAGCGTGGCTTTTCTTTTCCGGACCCCATGCCCTCTGAGTTCGCGTCTGTAAGGTTAGGCCCCAGCCCCTGGTGTCGCCTCCAGTGTCATCGGACGCGGGAGGTCTTTTGGCCGGTCCGGCGGACTTTAACACCGATTTCCTGTTATGGCGTATGTTGCGACTTTCCAAGTTGACTGATGTCTTGATGTCTTCGCTGGGTCTCTTTTGACTATTGCAATATCGACTGGAGTATTCCGTACTCCTGGACCTCACCAAATTCCCCAATTCGGTATAGCGTGTAAAATCGGGGAAGGTTTGTAATATTAATAATACCAGCAACTAACGATAATGCATAAACTTGAAGTATGTACGGAGTACTTTAATCTTTAACAGCCTTCAGACATATGTATGTATTCGTTGATAGAGACTGCCCACTCCCCTCCGCGACCTCCTCGACCGTGGCCCCATAAGCTATCGGAAATAAACCACTCCATTCGTATTTCAATATAGAAGTATATACCGGTCCCATGTCCTGGATCGCAGGCCAAAACTTGGATGGAATACCTGCTTTGCCAAGGTCCTTCTTCTTCGCGTCACGGCCACGCTGTATAGCACGGTTTGTTGAATGGTCACTTGCACCTTTATTTGTTGCAGAGTCACTCGTATCCTTAGTAAGGTATTTGTTGCAAAACTGCGATAGGCATGTATCGAAGTCTGCCACTACACCAAAAGGAGTGAGCCCACACTAATGGTAGGCAGAACTGAAGTTCGACAGCATGTTTCCAATATGAAGATTCGCTCTGATTTTTAGGTACTTCTCCTCCCTCGCCTCAAATAATATTCCACAGCTGTCTCGTTCATTAGCGGGATGGATGTGGTTCAAGTCGGAGTCGTTTAGGGTCGACCTCATGCTTTGGCCCGGGGCCGGGACGCGCCAAGCTCCGGTCCGTTTTCGTGGCTGACAGGGCTTGGCGGATGAACCCGGCGGACAAGCCAGGGTATGGTCACGTGGATCGGAGTCCGCGAGTTCCTGCACGTGATCATGGAGCCCGAGGACTCCGTGGTCATGTGATAAATTAGTAAGCAGAACTAACAGCAGAGCAATGCCTGGTCAGTGCGTCTATAAGTCAAGTGTTATTGCTCTATTTATAGGTCTACTTGATCTATGGGCGGGAATACTCCAAACACCGGATAGACGTTGACATTTTGAAACCTCTGCTTATCTATCGGAAGTCCATAGGCTATACCCATTGAAAAGAGGTTTTGTTCTTGTCGCTGCTACATGCTTTATATTAAACTTCCATGCCAGGAGACAGGGCAAAAATGTCAACTATAATTACCCTTTGCTTTGTTGGCTGAGCACTTTGTGAAGACACTGCTTAAGACACAGTAGAGCGAAGCATTCTCGCAGCTAACTGGCTCAAAAGCTTGGCTCGGTCTGATGCAGGCAGATCTTGGTACACAGAGTAAACACTCCTCCCCTCTCTGTCCCTTATAGCACCAATTCTATTGCCAAGCACCATGCCAGCCACCATACCCGCGGCGTTTGCAATGATAAAGCCTAAGATTGCACCTCCAATCGCGCCCATAATAGACCAAAACCATGCACCGCTCACATTCAGGTCATACTTTTTGCTTCCGGGATCGTCGGCTCCAACGCCTCCACGACCCCCATTCATCATGCCATTCTCCCGAAGCATCTCTTCGAAGAAGTCACCGAACTGCTCAGCCGAGTACTCATTCGACTGAGGTGGTGGGGCGTATGCGTTTTTAAAGTAGCCCGTTTTAGTGTTATACGCTGTAGTGTAGGCACTTCGCCGGTTCTTATCGCTTAGGGTATAATATGCATCGTTCACCTGTTGAAATTTTTTTGTTCGTTCAGGTCGTTCGGGAGATGTTAGAGGGACACGGTCAGGATGGTATTTTAACGCTGCTCTGCTTGGGTCAGCACCTCTATTATCGCTATACTGCTGTAGAACCCTCATAGAACGAACTTTTTATATGCTTCTCGAATTTCTTCGTAGCTAGCATCTTGGGGAATCCCCAGGAGTTCAACTGCCAGAAATTCGGGTTAGCCACGTGTTATAATTGAACTGCGACATTCCAAGTGATCGACCCGAGGAGGTGTGGTTACGTACAGTAGTCACAGGTCTCGTCTGGAGTCCGGTTAGCAATCAGTCTGTATCTAGATACCATGAAGAGCCCACCAACGCTCTGCCAGTAGAGAACTTACCAGCCATATTTTAACGAAGGTATTATACAATTGATACCAGTCAACGGATGCGCTTTTCTGTCCCTTTCACCTCATAGCCGTGCTGTCACCTGGCTTGCTTCCAGCCCTCGTGCTCTTATATAAACACATCGCTCTCCTATGACGTTATTTCCGCCCGCGGCTGGGTCTATCACGTGATAAAGGAGCCTCCCTGTGATGACTAAGCTTTTCCCAGCCACCGAAAAAGAAGAAACGAGAAAGCGACTTCGAGTTCAGCTTCAATTCCTCCGTCTTCATCTTTCTCTTGCGCGAGATGGTTAGAGATAGACGGCAGTGAGACGGTGCTGCTGCGTGCAATTGGCCTGCGGGAAAAGGCTCACTTTGCGTCGAGAGGACAGTTCGCTCTCTTTGCCAGTTTATTTAGTTACCTCTCCTCTAGTGTTTACCTGCTACACCGCCAGTGCCAGTTCCTTGGTAGAGGGGGACCCCTTATCTGTGCATCCAGTCAAATTGATAATCCATACTCCATCCACACCTTCGTTGACATACCCATAACGACTACATATTGCGGAGTACCCATCTCCCGAGTAGCAACGACAGCCGACTCCGAAAAGCTACACCTATAGACAGCCATCAATTACTAATTATTGTTGGCTCCTCCCCTTGGGCGGAGACTTCTCGCCAGTAATGAGCTTTCTGTACCCCTTTGCGCCATCAGATAGCCATCGACGCAGCAGCAGCCGCAGCCGCCACGGTCACAGCTCCAGCCATCGGTCTCACTCCAAAGAACACCGTCACCACCATTCATCCTCGTCCGTCGTCGGCTCAAGCTACGGTAACGGCCACAGCTATAGCCACAGCCACCATAACGGAAGCACCCGTCCCTCGGAGAGCTCCATCTTTGGACTTGGATCACACGCAAACCGCTCAATGGCTTCGTCAATCTTTTCAGCTGGCTCGTCGTCCCGCCGCGCGAAGCCTCGGGCCGGTTTTGTTCATCGCATGATGCGCAAGATCAAGAAGTTGTTCAGGGACATCATGCATTATATGAAGAGACATCCGATGAAGGTGTTTTTCCTCGTTATATTGCCCTTGATAACGGGCGGGGTGTTGCAGAAGTTGCTGGCCTCGGTCGGAATCAGGATACCTGGCTTAGCAGCTCTATCCAAAGGTGGTGGTGGTGGTGGTAATCATGACCCTCTCAGCGGGGAAGGAATAGCTGGTGGTGTCAGCGGGTTGATGTCACTAGCAAAGGCCTTTGCCTAGAGTTACTTGATGTCCCTTTTATGTCGTTTATGCCCCTTTTGTTTTGTTTGTTTGTTTTTACTTTTGGCTTTCTTTGGTCCTTGATACCTTGGTTTTTGGGTTATGTTTGGAATTTTAACGACCAGAGGAATATCGGCTAAGCGCCCCAGCTAGATACCAGCCTGCTGTTATTAATCCCCAGTTACTTCTTTATTACCATTTACGTCCCTTTTTGATGCGTTCTTCGATATAAGAAACTGAATGCCCAATTATGCCACCCAAGTGTTGGTTTATTTTTTTTCGCTTTAGATTGTCAACTTCCACTCTCTTGAGCTGTGATGTCTACGGAGTACTCACTCGCTAATGAGATCTTCCACAATACAAGTTACACAAAACACGTTGCGTTGCAGGATGCCGCATCCTACAAGGCTCGAGGAACTAACGCCTGATCCTTCACGGCTAAAAAGTCGCGCTTCATAATCTAGTCCCAATTCGACGACCTGTTCCACCAATAGAAAGCTTGATGTACGGAATCGATGCAGTTGGGTTCAACTATATCCACAAGCTAAAAGTGTCAATCCATCGATATTAGGCGCCGATAAGGGGTATAAAAAGGAAGTTCTCCTACCGTTCGTAGAAAAGAGCATCCTTCTCTTTTCCCTTGGGCGCTAATTATAATTTATGCCGACTGCTTTTCAGCCATACCCCGAACATGAAAATACATCCAATTCTTCTCGGTGGAGCGGTGGTTGCTAGCTCCGCTCTTGGGGTGGGTTTCACAAGGCCGTCTTCCATCTATCGCCTGGCTGTGGCACCGATCCTCACATTCTGCACGTTTAGATGCATCACAACCAGCATGGACTACATGATACGATGTCCCTGGGCCGGTTTGGTAGGAGCGTATACCATTACGTTCTTTCTGCACTACCTTGATATTGTGCTACTCCGAGGCTGGTCCTTCGAAGCTGGTGGTCCATCAACAGATCCTGGTACCGGTAAAAATATACCCAATTATCCCAAGAAGGATCGAACGGACAATACCTGGGAACGTTTGAAGTTTGGTCTTGCCGCAACTTGCTCATTTCGCCATATTGGAACCCCCTATCAAGTCAAGAATGTACCACGGTTCAGTGACAAGAATCCGGAGTATGTCCCATCTCGATCGAGATTCTTGATATGGACAGCCTTTCTCTATGCTGCGTGCTACCTCTTTCTCGATTTGATTACATTCAAAGTCGATATAGATACCAACCTCAAATACTTTACTCAAAAGAACGTTCCATTTTTCACACGGCTGCCGAATATATCGAGCGATGAGATAGTGATGCGGGTGATAAACACCATCATCTCAGGATTGATTATGATATGCGTCCAGAGAAGCTTTTACAGCCTTGTTGGGTTCTTTAGTGTACTTTTGGGTATCAGCGAACCGCGGGAATGGCCTCCATACTTTGGATCTCTTTCGCAGGCCTTTACATTGAGAAGAACATGGGCGTAAGAAATCTGGATCCCTGTTATTTAGTTGATTCTCACAAAGTTCAATCTGCTAATCCATACCCATAGAGTATTCTGGCAGCAAACCAACGCAGCGAAGTTCGCTTCTGTATCCAGTTTTATCGTGCAACGTGTCCTACGTATTTCTCCTGGAACTCAGTTATACCGATATGCAAGGCTGGTTACCATATTCGCGATTTCTGCATTGATGCATGTTCTAGTTGACGTGGCATCTGGCCTATCGTTAACTAGTTCTGGGGCAGCGAGATTCTTCCTAACCCAAGCATTCGGAATTATGATTGAAGATATAATTGTTAGCATATACTACAACTTCGTGGTCAAGGATAGGTCTCGCGGAAGCTACCTTCTGGAGAAATGTGTTGGTTTTGTATGGGTTTGTGCATTCATGATATGGTCTTCCCCAGCATATGTTTACCCACTGATGTACCGTGTGAATTCTGGGCAAGACGACTCTATCATTCCATTTAGCATCATCAAAATGCTCATTCCCGTCCGATAATGTTGGTGATTTCGGTGTTTAGGAAATCCGTTTCTCTCGGGCCACCCTTACCCATGACTATAATCACATATATATACCGTCTAACGGCAAAGCAGCTCTTCTCCAGCTGTTATCAATTATCTGGTGCTCACATATTCACTGACCCAATTCATACGAAAGGTTCACAATTTCAGCCAAATATGTTTTAAAAACTCCTGCACCAGCAGAACCTCCTCTGCTCGATGGCAACTTTCTCAGCGTAACAGCTCGCAGCATACAAAGAACGAGGATCTGTCTAAGATGCATCGTTTTGCTTCAAGGGTCACATCCCTTGACTCTTGAGCATACTTAAAACATTTCCTTCTGCCGCTCAGGGTTAAGTGTGACGTTTGATATGAACCTGATGTGTTCTCGCATGTCGCCAGTGCCATTACACGAACAAGGCGTAACGACTGATATATCAACGATACCCACCATCCTGTTTATATGTTAAGCGAATATTCGCAGCAAATTTATTCTCTCTCTAAGTTGGGCCGGAGACTCCCATTGAACTTGGACTCTGGAAAATTTTCTCTCTCAGTTCCACTGTTCTTCAGCAGCATACATAGTTCATATGTCGATCCCCGCAGCACCAATTAAGGCTATCCTCGTTATATGGCACCTGCGTTATATGCTATATTGGGCGACTTATACCTTGTAGTGTCGATCTCTGTGGATATCAATCTGCTGATTCTTCGAGACATTATTATTATTCGATCTCATGTCTTGCTGTGAAAGTTCAGCAACAACACGCCCTTTAGTCTATTGTTTACGAAGTCAACGGAGAGATAGCAACCTTGGGAGCATGGACACGCACAATACGATAGTACTTGAAGCAAATTATTGCTTTGTATGACACCACTTTTCCCGCGGAAAGATTAGTTATAATCACTTACCTAATATAACCCAGGATGCGATGCAGTTCTCTGCATCTTAATGAGGCATGGGGAAGCCTGAATGGAACAGGAGCCTGCCTGGGTATGGATAGGGATGTATTTCAGAGGTGTTGATGCCCAAGAACGATGGCTCCCTTGAGGCCTTCAATATTCTGCCTTGTTGAGGGTAGTAATCCATAGTATTCGCACGTGGCCGTTTCTGGAAGAACGAAATTATATCAAGTTGAAGATATGGAGTACACCCCCTGAATATCTGGGTGAAGCTTCATACTGTGGGTGGAGTCTTTCTCTTATTTCTCCATACGCAGCCGTTCTGCTTGGGACTCTATGAAGCCGGCAGACAGAGAGAACAGCCAGGGTTTGAGTTAATTTTGGCTTGGTCACACTTTGCACTATGCAGCCAATCCATGCATTGGCATGGCACACCCGCAGCCCAGGAACAGCCTTTGATACAACTACCCGGTCAATATATCCGATTGCGAGTTAATATCAGATACTCAAGGATAAATAAGGCCGACACCTTGGGGAATAGCTTCATTTCAGTGCCCCTGTTCCCTGATATCGGGGAAGATGTTTTCCATGCAAGCTGATGATCATCAGTGAGACATCTATGCATGTTGTATACTGCCCGGTTGGTGACTTGGTGTTGGTAGTTAACAGAAACTGGGAACATGCATGACTCCCCGGAAGGGGCCCCAGTTCATTGATAGTAACGTTATTTTATCATCCTATGTGTGGATGGGGCACACGTTGATCCACCACGAGATAACTAGCACCAACGCTCTAAATGGATCCCAGGCAACAACGGCCACCTGCTTTCCAAAGGACATTTGATATAGTATTAATATTAGCAGCAGCACGAGCTAATAATGGGACATGAAGCGTCTGCTGGACGTCCTGGTGACCAAGACAGTTCGATCTGCTTATTTGGGACTAGTGACCGGGGACTCGAGATTGACCGGCATCATTACCATTCCTATTTCGTAGGATATTACCCGGTGATTGAATTCATGGTGCCATGATAGTAGTATGCATATCATTTATTTGAGCCCGGGCCGATAGATGTCCTTTGTGAGGATACGGTGTACTCCGTAGATAATATACCGACTTTCTTGCCGCGTGGGCCAAGTCACTCTGCCGCCAAACGTAGATTCTTAATTTTATTTGAAAAGCAAATTGTTGGTCCCATGTTCGGCTTCTGTGAATATGAAAACACAGCCAAAGGTCTAGAATATGTTTCTATTTTCTTTTTTCCAAGTGGCTGTTCGGCTGTGTTTCACTGCCAGCCCTGCCAGGAGGGCAGTTTCAAAAATAAATGAAACGGGGTTTTATGCACGTGGAAATGAAGGGTATAGACGATGTAAAACAGACTGGTGAGAGAATAACGCCACAATCATTGATCTCTTAAAGAATCGGAAATAGTACTCCGTATCACGCTTTGGTCTGTACAAAGTTACTGGTGCCATATACTCCGAGCGGAGTATTAATTTGTGAGTTATACCTGAGACGAAGCCAGGGAGAAAAAAAAAAAAAAAAAAAAAAGAGTATCGCGATGTATACAGATATGCCAAAAATTCTAATGACCCGAAAAACAAGGGAATGTAACAGAAAAAGAAATAACGATAAAAAAGACGGCCAGGGAAAGATATCATTCAGTGAAGGGAGGAAATTATAAAATAAAAGGGGGGGGAAAGCATGACCAAAATCACTCTTGCAAGATATCAACCATACCACGGACAGAGTCTTTTAACTCCTTGGGTTGAAGATTACCCAAGGCAGCTCTTATCTGGTCCATAGTCTGAGCTGGAAGTGACTTGGTGCCTTTTGAGTGGATGCTTAGTCCCGACGGGCTAAACATAGACTTATCCGCATATATGACCATCCACATAGGCTGCTCGTCACCTTCCTGTATAGGCTTACTGCTCTCAAGTGGAAGATTGCCATAACCCAAAACCTCCCATCGGTTGGTTATAAACTTGGCGAAGCCGGTGCCTCGCCAAGTAAATACACCAGGCAGGGAATTTGGAGTTGGTCTTTCAGTCCCCACGGTGGTATCAACTATATCAGAGCCCTCCCCCGATAGCAATTGGTAAGAAGTTACCGAGTCAAGGACAGTATCATTTGCAAATTCAACGACGTTACCACCGGCCTCTTTAGCTTGGCCTAGTTCTTTCAGGGAATATTTAATGGACACGTTTTTCTTATCCCTTAAAAACTCAACCGAAGAGCTCAGGACGTACCATGTCCCGATCAACGGGATAGTACTTGATATTCCCGGCGAACTAGCACGGAAAGAAGCAGCAGAAGCAGTAGTCTCAGCAGTCGCAGCAGCAGGCGAGGAGAGCCTGGATGGAAGCCGGAGGTGGATTTCGTTAGACATGGTTCTTTTTAATTAGCGTGGCTCAGTCGAACATAAGTATATATGGAGTAAGTATCAGCTAATCAATTTTAGCGGGTGGCAAGTCACTCCTGATGTTGCAATGGGGAAGTCTTGGTACTTCCCCAGGCTGGTCCTCCGAATAAGCTGCCTGAAAGTAAACCCTGACCCCCTGTTTTCCCTTTCTGGCTGGCAGATAGCAAAAGACAGCCAGGCCATCGGTTGGTCCCGTGGGTGGACGAGGATAGAGACGTCAAAGATGCTGCTCGTTGTTTTGTCAACCAGTTACAGCCCGTTTGGCCTGATGTTTTGGTGTAGAAGCAGTGGAAATTAGCAAGTAACGTGACCAGGCGGTGCCAAGTTTCCCCGGACTCCGGGCTCAAAGAGGAAATGGAAGCGCAATATCAGCCCTAGCGACAGCGACTCGCAAGGTCGCAACAAGCTCAGTCAGGATCACCTGGATCAGCAGCAGTGAGAGTCCGGTTGGGTTGGTACCCTTCTCCCAGTTGATCTTTCAGGCCGATCTTAAAGCTGGGAGCGACGGGTTCTTCGGCTCGCGCCTAATCTCGTCGATCCACGATGATCCGGCTCATTTTATTTCTACGTCGCTATCGAAACATATCAACAGAGCAGTACAAGATGGTGGTAACCTGAGAAGAGCAAAGATGTATACTTCACCATGCAGGAAAGCCGTTGAAAGGGGCCGTCTGTGTCTAATTCCAAGGGCTTCCCCTCATTTCTGCCAGGCCAGTCTCTATCAGGACATTCTCCGTTCATACATGGGCCCCTTGACGGGAAGCAGTCACGGAATCATGCAATTGCTATCACAATTCTGAGGGGCAACCTTTAAGTATCGAATACTTAGCCCAGGTCATTTGAGGCTGTTTGAACTCTCTAATATACGAGCTGCTTAAAAGTCCAGAGTATAGTTCATGCACCGGGATAACCGCAGTTTATGGTCAGTCGAAACGGAAGTCCCCTATTGGTGCAGAAGCCGTATTTGCGCCCTGGGGGGAACATCGATTGCCTCATCCTGAGCACCAAAATCGCAAACCATGGCGCATGTTCCCCATACCACACCCTAGGCCCTTGATACCCTAATTTCAGATAAAGAATGTTGATAGGGCAGACATCGAGATATTAGTCATGCGTTTCGGTTTTTTCCAAATGGCCAAGGATACGGGGTTACTCCTGAAACTCTCAACTGTTCGGTCACTCACTGTTATCAGCCATATTCCCGAAGGCCCCCAGCAAACCTTGAACGGGGTCCCATTGATAGAAAGCTCAACAGCACAACATATTCACACCCTACTATCACTTGGCGCATACAATGCATTCGGTGCTATACGGCATGCGCTGTCAAAACCCCATGGGGTCGCCAACTAACGGCAATTCTTAATCAATGACTCGGTACCCTGTGGGGAAAAAATAAGTCATCCGAATGATGGATGAAACTCTTGGTAGTGCTTGGTATCCCTGCCGTATCTCGCTATCATTCTAGCAGTAAAATGATACCCAGATACATCGAATTTCTTTCCTTTCTTTCTTTTTTTACGAGGCCGAGGTATTGCAGAGTCAGCTATGGCCAGCTCTTGATCTCTGTGCTATGCCGCATCTTGCCGTGATATAGGCCGCTATTTTTCTGTTTCGACCTGTGGAACTATCTTTCAAGGGATATCCTGACAACCTACGGACATCTACTTCCATCC